ACTGCCACCTCTGTCTCCCCGCCACCCCAAACAGGTTGTCTCTTTGTAAAAGCTCTGGCTGTCCTGGAACTCACTTTGTAGACCAGTCTGGTCTTGAACTCACAGAGACCCACCTGCCTCCTCCTCCTGATTGCTGGGATTAAAGGCGTGTGCCACCACTTCCTGGCTTCCCTGTCATTCTCCAGACTCTGGGCTGTTTGCACACCAGCCTTAGCTGGACCCCAGGATCGAAACTCCTCTACAGCATTTTAAAGTACGTGGATGTACTGAGATGTCCCTACCTGTGCTCTTTGAGTCCTATAGTTCCGGGTATCCTCTCTCGGGAGTGGAATACCACTGTAATGAGGTTGAGACAGGAGTTAGCTCTCTGTGGACAATAAGGGTGCATTTGGTAAATTATAAGCTACTCACAAGGCCTGAAAACAAGAAAAGGTTTCAAGGGCATTATTCCATTTATTCTTCACAGGGCTCTAGAGAAGAAAGGGGCACTGTGTTATCAACACCTGTACAGATGAGGACATTGAAGCCAGAAACATGGAAACCACTGCTCAAGGTCTCAGAGGCAAACTGGCAAAGCTAGGTAGATTTTAACCTCAGAATTGCAAAATGCCAGAATTTCCATGGGTTGGGCCACATTATGGCTCTAACACAGAGAAGCATCCATCCTGTGTCCTGGATTCATAAAATTTCCTCGAAAGAACTTGGCCACACCAGAGTATGGGGTGCTGAGCAATCAGTATTTGTCACGACTGCCTTTGTCTCCCTCTCACAAGCCATTCCAGCCCTCACAATGCTATTTCCTTGCTTTGAAGTCTGCAGAGCGAGCCCTTTTAAACTGCCCCCTGGTGGCGAAAAGGTGCAAGACAGCCTCAGAGGAACAGGGAAGGGTCAAGGTTGAGACACATTGCAGGGCCCTGAATCTCAGTGACATTGCTCTTCGCTGCCTGGGAGATCGTGGACAGGATGCTGAACTCCTCCTAAATAGAAAATGAATTTAACAGTGCTCACTTTAAAGTCCTGGGAGGACACAGAGCTAGCTCTCAAAGCCCAGTTGGAGTATGGAAGGAGGGTAAACCCAGGCTGCTGTTTCCTAGGGTGTAGCAGCCTCTAGGCTGCTCTCTCCTGGATAGGCTCTGGCTACTCCTGCAGGGGAGTTGCTGCAGGCCCCGCCACCTCCAGGCTCCTGCTGACTGGCTTGTTGGACTGGGTTTGCAGATACTCCTGCAGTCCTGCCCAGAGGTGCTTCCTGCTGCTGCGCAGACTGCCTAGATGGGGGACTGACTGAAAATCTGCCTTGGGACCAATTTTTCTTCCTTACTATGGAAGTGCACGGTAGTTCTTAGAAACCTGGATCGACTGTGAGGACACAGAGCCGAGGAGGGGTCTGCGCAGGTATGGGCTCTTGCATCCCTGTGGCTGATCAAGCTGTTCCAGGGGGCAGATGTTCAAGATACTGGAAGAAGTTCACTCAAGATTCCAAGTTTAGGGAACGTTTAGAGCTCAGTGGAACGTTCTCATGAGGACTTTTGGAGCTGACCTGACACCTAGTGGGCACAAACGGGAATGACACCACCTTTGGGAGCGGCAAAACTCTATCCATTTAGGGAAGGCCTCTTGGGATACTGGGGAAAGGTTTGGGTTTGGCCATCTGTCTCTCACTTACTTAGGGTGGAGTGTCAAGGTCAAGGGTGACCTGGAGGACTGGAACTGGTGATAGGGGTAGATTTTAGCTCTCTAGAATCTCCCACTATTCCCAAAAATCAGCTTGATGAAAAATCAAATTTGTGATGATCATCTCTCCCTTTTCAATTTTATACAAAGATAAACAGAAAGAAACAGAAGCTTACTGATGTATAGCCATCCTAAGTTTGAAGTTTTTTTTTTTTTTTTTGTTACACATTTGGATGTTCCTCTCAGCCATATGCAATCCCTAGGCCCTATCAGTTATGGATGCTCCAGAATAAGTTAGTAGATTACAAAAGATAAGTGACTCCAAAAGCCTCACCTTTCTTTGAGAAGACAGTGCCAACAGCCACAGAACACTCTGCTATGTCTGCTGCTGGCTTTGCTGGGACCCTGAGCTGTGTGCCATCTGTGGTACTGACCCGCCCGTCAGCTGCTTGTCCGATTACCATGGGCATAAGATATTCACTGCCAAAAAAAAAAAAAAAAAAAAAAAAAAAAGATATGCACTGTCTTCCCAAATTGCTCCACAGTGGTAACTGGTGACATTATACTGGACACCCTTCAGCATCCCGTCCCCCCCCACCTGGAGTGGCACTACTAAGAGGTGTGACCTTGTTGGAGTAGGTGTGGTCTTGCTGGAGGAAGTGTGTCACTGTGGATGGAGGCAGGCTTTGAGATCTCATATATGTTCTAGATACAACTCAGTGTGTCAGACTACCTCCTGTCGCCTGACAGATGTGGGACTCTAAGCTCCTTCTCCAGCACCACATCTGCCTGCACACCTCCATGTCCCACCATCGTGATAATAATCAACCTCTGAGCTGTAAAATCACCACGATCAAATGTTTTCCTTTATAAGAGTTGCTGTGGCCATGGTGTCTCTTCAAAGAGAAACCCTACTTCTTTTTTTTTGTTAAATTCTTGCATCTTGCCTTTCTTTTCTCTTCTCCCCCCCACTTTTCCTCATTTTTTTGTGTTCATGTATGCAAGTATAGGCACATGTGTGCCACAATACTCTTTACTTCTGAGCCATCTCTCTGGCCTTTTTTCTTTTTTCTTTTTGAGACTGGCCTTGGACTCTATGTAGGCTAAGGTAACCTCAAATTTATGGCAATAATGCCTCCAGAGCGCTTTTCTCAAGACAATTTTACATTGTGTGTGTGCACGTATGCAACACAGCATGCACACGCAGCTCAGAGGACAACATTCAAAAGTTTTCTCCTTCCATCATGGAGGCCAGGATTGAATTCAGACAAACTGGCTTGTGCAGCAAGCACCTTTGCCACCTGAGCCATCTTGTTGGCCCTCTCAAGGAATTTTAAAATGCAACTCAGAATGACAGGCTCCGGAACAGGCTGAGAAGTTTCATCTTCCCTGTTCCATTAGTCAGGCAAGACCACTGAGGCTCCAAGGTTGTGCTGTGATCAGACTGGACTAGCTGCCAAGTCTATTGGTCTCTACCCATAGGGTCCTTCCATGTTTCCCGCAAAGTTTCCTTCTAAAGGATCCTTGGTTCTTTAGCATCTCTTTCTCCTACCACTACCTCCCGTTTACACAGTCTTTTCAAACTGGAACTCAGTTTGCACTGACCACGATCACTGCTTTTGTGCCTTATCCTGTTCCCTCTAGGCCCTCTTCCTTCTGTCTGTATATGTTTCTCATACTGGTTAATAATAAAGCACTGTTGGCCAATAGGAAAGGAAGATAGGAGGGACTAGGAGACAAGGAGGAAATAGGAAGTAGTAAGGAGGAGCCAAGATGGAGAGTCTGGAGAAAGCAGTATGCGGCCGGCTCCCCGGTAAGAGAAATACATAGATCAGCAGAAATGGGTTAATAATTAAGGCAGAGCTAGCCGATAAGAAACAAGTAACCGGGCCAACAGTATAATATCAAATACAGAGTCTCTGTGTATTATTTGGGGCTGGCGCAGCAGCAGGACTAGACCTGGCGGCGGGAGGAAAAACCCCTTCTCGTTACAACCTCCTGTTTACACAGTCTTTTCAAACTGGAACTCAGTTTGCACTGACCACGATCACTGCTTTTGTGCCTTATCCTGTTCCCTCTAGGCCCTCTTCCTTCTGTCTAGCAAGCGTACATTCCAAGTTAGTCTTTGTGTCTATAAACAAGACCACCCAGACCTGTCCCCTTGATGTCACTAAACCCTGAGTGTTCCCCCACTCCAATGAAAGACACAGCATCAGCAACACAGAGAGATTCCCAGAACCAACATCAGCAGCACAGAGATGCCCAGAACCAAGTCAGATTATATTTGCTCACACTTAGCTCTGGTCATGTCATCTATCCATTTGACCTTTGGCTGAATCTCCTCACAGCCACCACAACTTGCCAGGACTTCTCTTGTTGGAGCGTCTCTCCAGATCTAACTGTGACTGTTGTGAGTTCTAAGGAACTGGTTTGAAAGGTAAGGGAATAAGGGGAAATACTGGGCTGGGGAGGTGATAAGGTGCCCGCTGTGCAAGCATAAGGACCTGAGTTCAGATCCCCGATACCCACATAAAAGCCTGTGTGATGGTGTCCTAGTGCTAGGGCTGGGGTAGGAAGCTCACTGGCCAATCCCTCTAGCCAATCAGTGAACTCCATGTTCACTGAGAGAGATACTGTTTCAAAAATTAAAGTGGAGAGCAGTAGACGGAGTTGCCAACCCTCTGGCCTACACACACACACACACACACACACACACACACACACACACACACACACAGAGAGAGACATACACAGACACACACACACAGATACAGACACAGACACACACACAGACACAGACAGACAGACAGACACACACACACACACCAAACAGCCAGCGAGATGGTTCAGCAGCTAATGGCCCTTGCCAGAAGCCCAACAACCTGACTTTGGTTCCCAGAACCTATGTCATGGAAGTGGTGAACTTACTCTCACAAGCTGTGCTCGACCTCTAAATGGAAACATGGCATGTATTTACCCATCTTGCCAGGCCTAGCTGAAGTCCTGCTCACACGGTGCCTCCCTTTGTCCCCTGCACGTCCCCTAGTCGCTCCCGTCCTCACCTGAACATTGTCCCTCTGCCGCATGGGCTGCAGGTCCTCAGGCACAGGCCCCAGCATCTTGCTCAATCAAGTCTTGCTATATAAGTGAGCTGAGGGTGAGAAAGAAGGTGGACCTTGTTCCTGGCTGTGGGATCTGGGGCGAGGTCTCTGGTATACTATGATACAGTCTCCTCTATATCATAACACAGATGGCGGGATCCCAGGGCTGATGCCCCTCCCACTATGGCCCTTTGGCAAGCCGGGGGAAGGCCTGAGGGCCACACTCACCTGAAGTCCACCATACCCTTCTTCTCATCCAGCTTCTTTATGATCTCCCTGACCTGGTACCGGTTGATGGGGACCTTGTTTTGCTGAGGAGGTGGATGTAACAATTATGGACCCCTCTGTTCCTTCACACCCAGTGACCCCCCCAATATCCCACTCTTGGGCCCCCTGGTGGCTGCACTACCACAGGGAGGTACTGTGGAGGCAGTTGCTTTTCACAGCATTGCCTTCCTTCCAGACGTCCTCCCGCTTCGAGGCAGTGACAAGGACTCAGGACCCAGGAGCAATGAGTGGTTTGCTGAGGTGGACAGGAGGGCACCATGCGAAGGCCATTCTTACTCCCAGATCCCTAGTCCTGACCAGCCTTCTTGCCTTACGGGCCTGGGTACTAAGCATTTGTGCCTGCCCAAGGCCTAGAACCCAAGGCCTTCACAAGATGCTATGTGAATCGATCCCTTCGTGCATACATTTCAGGGGACCTCCATCCCACTCAACATATTGGTAAGAGGGACTGTGGAGGGTTCAGGTTAGCTGGGAAGGTTGAAGGTAGGGTGTGGGAACTATGGGGAAAGGGCATTTCTCCTCCTCTTACTTTTCATCTTCCTAGGAGCCAAACACAACAGAGGAAAAATCCCAGAGATGAACGTATGCATCTGGGGTGAGGAGTGGCATTGGGCTACGTGACAGATTTTTGGGGGGGTTGAGTTTCCCTCTGAGTCTAGATGGATGAGGGCAGTGCCCTCAGCCAGTCTTATAGGGCAGTATGAAATGTAAGCATATGCCTGCCTGGCCACCCCACACTCCATGCCCCACACTACCCAGACTCTCCAGGAATCAGCACACCTGTAACATGGCTTTCCGGAAATCCCCCACAGACATTGTCATTGATCTCGATGGAGTCAAGTTCTTGAAGAACTCCAAGGTTGAGATCTTCTGTTGGTCTGTATAGTTCTGAGAGGAGCAGAAGTTGCCAGCCGCAAACACTTGGCTTTATTATGACTATCACACCTCCCTCCTCATCCCCCAAAGAGTGGTCCACACTCCTGGATCCAGAAATTCCCGGGGAATGGGGGGAAGGCATCTGTACCGTATAACCACACTTTAGAGCAAGTAGCAGGTGCAGGCAGAGGCATGGTGGCACCCGTCTGTCTAGTTTGTGGCAGCCTCATTCCAACCCAGGAGGTTGGAATCTGTGGTCCCATCACTCCCTGACTTCACAGAGGGCCACCAGAGCTGCTAGCAGCCCCTAGTCACAGGAGCACAGATGGTGAGCAGATCTAAGTCAGTAATTTGGCTTTAAGATGGCCTCCATTAACAGTCTAGAAGTTGGTGCTCTACGGATGGAGGGTGGGGCTTCTCTTGGCTGAGAGCTCACACAGCTGTTGCATGAAGGGTGGACGGGCTCCAGGCATTCCTAGGGTCCTCACCATTCCCCACAAATGTACACACGGAGACGCGCCTTGCTAGAAAACCTTCAAAGTAGCATTTCTATCTGTAACCTCTCATGTCACTCCCCATTGTTAGAAAGATCCCCCATCAGTCCTGGGAGATTCATACCACTCCCTAAGCCAGATGGAGTCAAACCCCAACTCAAGGTCTGAAATCTGAGGATACCCACCCATATCTAGCCCAGCCTTTCTGGCCAGCTTTGCCTTCCAGGCTTCTTGCTGAGTCTGGAGACCCAGGATCCCTGAGCTGGACTGATGCCCTCTGGTGTCCCCAAAGCCTGCCTGCATCCATTGTGTGCAACTCCTCCCTGTGCCGCTGGCAGAGGCCCTCTTGCTAGAACCATCTTCCGTGCTCCACGCTCACTCCGATCCTATCTTTCCAGGGCCTTCCCAGCCCCACCTCTGCCGGGAAGCCCTCCTCCTCTCTTGGCTCATCCTGGGGTGTCCTTACTTTGGATTCTGATGAGGTTTGTGGCCACTGTCATGTTTTTAATATTTCTCCTGTGACATATTCTTTTGGTCATTACTGAATGCATCCCATCTTTCCAGTCACACGGTCCCCTCTTTGCAACTACAGTGTACACAGATGTCTTATTTGGTCTCCACTCTCGTTTTCCTTTGTGGTGCTGGGGATTAAACCTGGGATGTCACATGCATTAAACAAATGCACTACCCCTGAGCTATACAGCTAGCCCTCTTTTTCACTTAGTACTTTGAGATTCATTAAGTTGCCCAGGCTGGCCTTGATCCCACGCAGGTGCCCTGAGTGCTGTGGCTGCAGATCTACACCAACACTTGAGGGTCACACTCAAATTTAAATTAAGTTTAATTTGTCTCTGCTCCTGAGATTCAGTGGCATCTGGTTAGGAGTCTTGAGCGCCCATTGGTTCATACCACTCTCCATTTTCTTTTCCTTCCTCCTTTCCTTCCTTCCTTCCTTCCTTCCTTCCTTCCTTCCTTCCTTCCTTCATCCCTTCCTCCCTCCCTCCCTTCCTTCTCCTTCCTTTCTCCCTTTCTTTCTTCTTCCTTTCTCGAGACAGGGTTTCTCTGTGTAGCCCTGGCTGGAACTCACTCTGTAAACCAGACTGGACTTGAACTCAGAGATCCACCAGCCTCTGCCTCCACAGTGCTGGGATTAAAGGTGTGCAACATCACCATCCAGCTTGTCACTCTCCATTTCTATATTCTCTTAAAACGGGGGTTGGGGTGGGGGGGTTGGGCGGTGGTGGCCCACGCCTTTAGTCCCAGCACTCAGGAGGCAGAGGCGGGCGGATCTTTATGTAGCCTGCTCTACAAAGCTACAAAGAAAACTAATAAAACAAGGGGGTGGAACCCTCGATCTGCATCCAACTTCCCTCGTAAAATCCATCTTCCCCTGGTTCCTCTGGAGTCATTTTCTTCCAAAACAAACCTGGTATCTTTTGCCCTCTAGAACTTTTAACATAATTTTCATGTAAGGTCTTTTTAGATTTAGTTCTGGAAAGCGAGGCGCAGAGCCGATCAGAGGCCAGAAGCAACCTGAGGGGGGACATACCCATAGAGACTGCATTTGCACAGCACCCCCAGTGGCAGCTAGCAGAGGTGCAGCCACACCTGAGAGACACCAGACTGGTCAGCGTCAAGGCACAGCGTCAATTTCACGATTCTACCTACTTGTTGTGATTTTCTGGAGACAAACTAAGAGAGGACTTGCCCGGTGTGAGTTCAGAAATAGAGGACTCTGCTAAGTGTGGGATGGCTCACTCGGCATCCAGTCTCAGAAAGAAGCTGCAAGCCCTGGGCGCTTATTGCATCCAGGCTTTGTTCTGAGCACCTCGCATCTGGTAAGTTATTCAGTCTTTACAGCCACCATTCTCGTCTGTCCCCAATTTACAGGTGAAAAGACTGAGGCACTGTAGGCCTCAGTGGCTTGCCTTTGGTGGCACATGAGTAAAAGACAGGTTTCAGGCAGCAGACTCCAGCTGGTGCCTTTACCACGCCCCCGCCCCCAACTCTACCAGATCTCAGCTCTTCTCTCCTTTGGGGTGAGAAGCAGTATCCAGTGACCCAGTATCCAAGGAGAATATTCCAGGTCACCAACGCAAGGAGCCTTGTTAGAAAGGGTCACATAGACACTCAGACAGAACCAGCGCTGGGTGGGTGATTTGGGGCCACGAGGCAGCTTCCTCCAGGGTTCTTTGAGACTCTAAGGGGGGGGGGTGCTCACCTGGATCAGTTTCATGGGGTTGGTGCACAGAGACATGGTTTTCTTGCTGGAGAGACCCTGCATTCCCTTGTATATCACATCCAGCTGGGGGTGAATGGCACAGACCCCATCCAGGACTTTTACAAACTGCTCTGTTACCAGAATGTTCTGCAGCAGGGAGAGGGGGGCCACGGCAAAGGAGCTGTCACTGTGCCACGTGCCAGCTGACAGGAGCACCCTTCCCTCCCACCCAAGCCAAGTTCTGGTTTGTTCTGCTTCTGGACTGGTGTGGGTTCTTGTGTTTTCTAGCTTGCGAGTGACTTGTGTCATGGGTTCCTTTTTGAGGCAGGGTCTCATTCTGTAATGCAGCACAGCCTTGCATGTTACCCATCCTTGCGGTGATTCTCCTGTCTCCATCTCCCAAGTGCTGGGATTACAGGCATGTGCCACCACGGCCAGTTTTATGGGGTGCTAGGCATGGAATCAGAGATTCTGTGCATGCTAAGCAAGCAGTCTACCAAACTTAGCTGTATCCTCAGGGCCTTTCTGGTGTTATGGAGCTTGTGACTTGATTTGTAAGCTTCCCAGGTTTAAATACATATATGGTCTTACTCTGTAGCCTGGACTAGCCTTGAACTCACTATGGAGCATGGTCTGGCTTTGAACTCGTGATGATCCTTCTGCCTTAGCCTCCTGAGCACTAGGATTATAGGTATGTGTCATTATGCCCAGAGGAGACTTTTTAAAAAAATGATTTATTTATTTGTGTTTGTCTACATGTGTATCTGTATAAGGATGTTGGATCCCCTAGAACTGGAATTACAGTTGTGAGTTGCCATGTGGGTGCTGGGAGTTGAACCCAGGTCCTCAGGAAGATCAGCTAGTACTCTTAACCACTAAACCATATCTCCAGCTGCCAGATCTAGGAGATTTTGATTAGATGTTTTCGTTGTGTTCTGATGGCTTGTTTGTCACACACTATTGACTCAGCTCTTCTCTGAGGTGGTAACTTAAGTGTCTGTATTTGATGGACAGATATCAGAGACTGGTCTATACACAGATTTCCTGACCTGTCCACATCTACGTGAATGTTGTTCTTCAGAACAGGTACCCAGGATCCCTGATGCCAGCCCTCCTGCTATGGCTCATAGTGAACTAGAAACTCCTCTTTTGAAAGAATTCAGAGCTGGCTTCCAGCACAGGTAAGTGTATGTCGTTTGGAAGAGAGATCTAGCCTATTCTCCATCAGCTTGACAACCCTCATCTTCCTGCGGGTGTGGTCCTGAGTACCTTTTGCCTTTTCAAAGGACCGAACTGGTCTTAAGGGCTCAGGTTTTGCACATACTCTGCCTGGTCCTAGGAACATTTACAAAGTAGGAATTCCAGTACATTTTAAGTCATGGCGTCATCACTGACAAGAGGGTAGGACTGTTGGTCCCAGGGTGGCAGTGTGAGTGTAGCAATGAAGCCTTTCTGACGTGAAGCTTAGTGGGAGGAGATTGGGCCATTGGGGACACTGCCCTCAAAGGAAATGTCATGCTCAGGGGACCTGTTAGTTCAAGAAGAAAATGGTACTGAGTCTGCAGCTTCTGGTCTCTGCATGCAGTGTTTTTTCTTTCCCCTATGCAAGACCACTGTGATGCCATCTGCTGTAAAGCGAGGTGATAAAGAGAGCCATCACCAGAGATGGTGCCATGCCACAGGGTCATTCGGCCTCTAGAGTTATGAGCTAAATAGCATTTCTTTCTTTATAACATCCCAGCTTCAATCAAAATTTCATCACAGTATCAGAAAAAGACTGGCTGTCTGACTCAGTCTATTGGCTCCAGCAGGCATGTTTAATGGCAATTAAATCATGGCTCACGGACCCTTGTGCCATTTAAGCCCTAAGCAGTGCATTTCTATGGTTCCATCAAGAGTACCAAGCTTGCGGTCCACGCCCCCTGCCTGCAGGAGTTGGGTGGACAAATGGCTATGAAATCTGAATGTGGCTGAGACTCTGAGGCAGTGTAGGTTGGGGCTGAGGGGCTTTGTATCCTGGTGCAGTCAAAGCTATAAGAGATTCGTTTGGCTTTGTGGGCATGCCTGTGTCTGACTGTCTTAATTGCTTCAACTGATGTGGAAATCCATTCCCTGGATTGGGGTCATGGGCTATATAAGAGTAGGGAGGACTAGCCAAGGGATAAGTGTGCGAGCAGTCATTTTGCTCTGCTCCTGACTATGATTGTGATGTGGCCCGCTGCGAGCTCCTGCCGCTGTGACTTGTCTGCTGTGATGGACCAAAACCCAGAATAGATTTCTCTTTCCTCATTGGCTCTTTGTCAGGGCAGTGTACCATAGCAACAGAAATCAAACTAGACCACACCCTCACCTCTCTTGAAGTCCTTTTTGTTTTTTGGTGTGTGTGTGTGTGTGTGTGTGTGTGTGTGTGTGTGTGTTTGAGACATGGCCTCACTGTGTAGCTCTAGCTGTTCTGGAACTCACTCTGTAGACCAGCCTGGCCTTGAATTCACAGAGATCCACCTGCTTTTGCCTCCAAAGTGCTAGGATTAAAGGCGTGCACCATCATACCAAGTGGGTTTGAGGTCTTAACTCTGTAGAGGTGACCTCATTTGGAAATAGGGTCTTTGCAAGAGATAAACAAGTTGAAATGAAGTCATTAGGGTGGGTCCTGGCATACTATAGTGAAATCCTTATGAAAAAGAAAAAGGGATTTTGTTTAGAGATGGACATACTCTCAAGGAAAATGCCATGAGAAGCTGAAGGTGGGGCCTGGGGGCAAGTCTGCATGCCAAGGGATGTCAACGACTGCCAGCAACAGCAGAAGCTGAGAGAGAAGTCAGGGGCAGATTCCTCCCCAAGTCCTGAGAAGGAACCTAGCCACTGCACACCCGACCTCGAATTTCTGGTCTCCAGAGCCGAGAGGCAATGCATTTTTGCTGTTTAAGCCACTTGGCTTGTGGTACTTTGGTACAGCCATCTGGAAAGGAACACAGTACTCTACCAACCTCTTAAGAGTAGCATTTGAGGAGCTAGCACCTAAAATCACTTTGGGACAAAAAGTACCAGTGGTCAAAAGTATAGGATGTTGTTTGTACCAACTGCCGTCCCTGTGATGATTTGGGCAATGGTGTGGGATGATGCTCTTGTTCACTGTAAAGATTTGTCACTTGTATTTGGTTTAATAAAAAGCTGATTGGCTAGTAGCCAGGCAGGGAAGTATAGGTGGGACAACCAGACCAGGAGAATTCTGGGAAGACGAAAAGCAGAGATGCGGTCACCAGATAGACACAGACGAACCAAGATGAGAATGCCTTACGGAGAAAAGGTATCAAGCCATGTGGCTAAACATAGATAAGAATTATGGGTTAGTTTTAGGTGTAAGAGCTTGTTAGTAATAAGCCTGAGCCATTGGCCAAACGGTTTATAATTATTATAAGCCTCTGTGCGTTTATTTGGGACTGCAGGACAGGGCAGGACAAAAGCCTCCATCTACAGGGAAACTTCTTGGCAGAAGGCCAGTCAGTCCACTTCCTCCTTCACAAAAGGGTCACCTTTAATTGCAGCTCTGAGCAGCACAGGCCACAAGTTGTGAAACAGAAATGCATTTGTGAGGTGGAACTCAAATGTCCTGGGATTCTGACTGGGTATGTGGCTCACACCTTTAATCCCAGCATTCTGGGAGGCAGAGGCAGGCAGATCTCTGTGAGTTTGAGGCCAGCCTGGTGTATATAATAGCAAGTTTCAGGCCAGCCAGGGCTGAAAAATTATCCTGGGATTCTGGAACATTCTGAGACCCAGCCCATTTAATCACTGAACTTTGTAGTGCACAAATTCTCTCCTGGAGTCCCCCACCCCCACCTCCCCTTTTGGTTTTTCCTCATTAAAACTCCTAGGCGCTCATACCCTGGCTTCCCAGGATTGAGTAAATTGTCTTGCATGGTGGTGATATTGACTGAAGGGCTACTTCCGTCGCTTAGCCCCTTGCCTCTTGTGTGTGAGGTAACTGGCTTGTGCCAGGAGCAAATGACTGGTATTTGATCACTTACAGAGATATCAAGCTCTTCCATCCTGGATTTGGTGTTCCTCTTGATGGACATGATAAGAAAAAATGCCCCCTCTATACTCATAGGGTTCAGGAAAAGCTGCGGGAGGAGAGGGCACAGCAGGAGGAGGCTGAGACGGGAGCAGCAAGGCTGTGTTAGAGTGCAACTTTACTTTCCCCATGGAATCACAGCCTCTATGCTCCTCCTACACTTCTCCAGCTATTCCTAGCCACCTGCCCGGCCACCCATCCTTCCAGCTTTCCACCCATTACTCAACACTTCTTTATGTATTCATTTACTCTACCCATAACCCATAAGTCCATCCCTCTGTCCATCTACCACCCACACATCCATCTACTCACCAATTCACCTTACTTTCTATCATCTATGAATACCTTCACTAATTAACCTATCTCACTATCCATCCATTCATCTACCTACCCACTCATCAGTCTCTTCTATCATCCATCCATCCATCCATCCATCCATCCATCCATCCATCCATCCAATCTTGCTACCTATCCATCCACCAACCTACTTGTCAATCCATATCATCCTCCACCCACCCAACACATCTTCCAACAAATATTTATCAAGGCCTGCTGTGTATTATCCAGGGAGCTAAGCCCAGACAGACATAACATGGGCTCAGTCTTCAAAGGGGGCAGGTAAATAAGAAAGTGGCATCAGATACGTGATAGTGACAGAGGGACATGTACATACTGTAGGAGTAAAGAAAATAGGGTCCATCATGGGGACCCTTGAGTAAAACCTTGCTGGGATATACAGAATTAATTATATCTGGAAGGGAACAGTAGCAGAGTAGGGAAAAGATTTTCCAAAGAAGAAAAGGACAGACAAGGGTTAAGGTATACTGGAGGGAACAACATGGTGGCAGCGGGGGGGGGGTGGTGGTGGTGGTGGGGGGGTGGGGTTGGGGTAAGAGATGGGGGTGGTAGGGTGGGGGTGGTTAGACAATAGCACATGTTCTGTAAGCAGGAGCAGAGAGGAGGAGGCAACAAATCCAGGAAAGGCAACAAAGCCATGGCATGGTAGACCTTATGGGCTTAGGTTATTATTATTATTGCAAGGGTGACGACAGCCACTGAATCATGGATGGAGATTAGGAAGAGGGAGTATGTAGGCAGCTGGCCTGACTCCCTGGACTCTTTGTATCTGTCACCACGGAAGGTCTGTCCCAAGAGTCCCAACCTAATAATCCAGCCAAAACATCCAAAAGATGCCCAGTGCAGAGCACAGAGTGTATGAACGGTGGCTGTTGCTATGGAAGGTTCTTCAGGTGGTTGTATTATGAGGGAGGCCATAGGTTTTATTGAGCATTTACTGTGTGCCAATTTCCCAGGCTCTGATGTTCTCTGGTGAGAATAATAATAATAATAATAACAATAAAAGGTGCTTGTGCATCTTGGCACCTGAACTTTGTAGAACTCATTTCCCAAAGAGATTTCTTAGTTTCTCAAGACTGGGGTTGGGGTGTGTGTGTGAGTGTGGAGAACAGTAGATATTTTCCTCAGGAATTTCATTTTCTACTGTTTTCTTTTATTTAACAAATTTAAAAACATGATTTTTTTTGTGTGTGTAAATGTGTGCCATAGTGTGCATGTGCAGGTCAGAGGACAATTTGCAGGAGTCTTTTCCCTGTTTTTCGTCTAACACATGGTTCTGGGGATTGAACTCAGGTCGTTAGGTTTGGCAGCCAGTGCCTTTCCCCACTGAGCCATCTGCCAGCCTGACGTCTTAGTCAATAGAAGCTTTAGACAGGATCAGGTTCTTATGACAATCCTTGGTTCCACCCGACCTCCAGGCTGAGCCACTTGCAGCCTGGGCCACCTCTCTGCATTGAGTGGCCCTATCCTACCCTGCCTAGGATTCCAGTTCTCCTCCGAGGTGTCCAGTCTGGTTCTATCAGCCATTAGCACACTTCCTGTGCCAGGACCTGGCTTCTTGTGCCCTAATGGCACCTCAGATGGCAGGCTCATCCTCAGTTTTCTCACAGCCATTCCTGCTCCATCAGTGAGGGTCCTAACACCTGCCGTGTCTCCATACCCTTCATGGGGAAGTTAGAACAGCTTTAGAAAGCCAAATACAAGTGGCCACCCCCTTCACAGTTATGTGGTCTGAATGAGTCACTTAGCCTGTTTCCCCATCTGGAAAGTAGAGCTGGCAGAGATACCTGGCCACACTGGACAATGACTGATGAGTTATTGCGTCATCAGATTCAGGGCGTGGCTTGAAAGAGCCCAGAGAGAGGACCTTGGAACAGATGTTCTCTTGAGTCTGTCTTCAAACTATCCAATAGCTTGTGTCATAATTAGTCTCCCCAAGTAAACTAATTTACAATGAAATGTCAATTCATTTATCCATTTACTTACTACAGATTCACTGTGTGTCCAGTACCATAGGGTAACAGGGGTATGATCATGGCCAAACTTGTCCTTAGGAAGATTTCACATTCAAGTGAGAGCATAGCTAGGAATCATAGTATAGAGCTCTGCAGGGAGGAGAGAACAGAGTGCTGGGAGCGACCCCCTAATTCAGGAGGTCACAGATGTCATGGATCTTTGCGTGCCATGCTCTGCAGCAGCGCAGACATAAAAGCAGGCATTGGCACAGACAGCGCTAAGAATGAGAAGAGGAACCAGGAACCAGGAAAGCCACAGAGAGCAGGGGTGAGCTGAGGCTGCAGAGGCTCATGGGGATCAGAGGATGAACTGGAATGCGAGAAACCACTGAGATCTAGGAATAGTATCCCCAAAACATATATGGCCTTTGTGTGAAGAAAATCCCAAGGCACAGATGGCATGAGGGAAAACCAGTGTAGTAGCACACATGTCACCAGAGAGCTGAAGCAGCTCTGGGTCTATAGCAAGGGCACCATACATGTGCACTGTGTGTGTGTGTGTGTGTGTGTGAGCGCGTGAGCTTGTGCATGTGTGTGATGACTCTCCGACATTATCCAGTCCAGTTCTATTACCCTACTTCCTTATAACACAGACAGATGGATCACATACATACAAATATATGTGTACACACACACACAGACACACGGACACATAGGCAGACACACATGGTACATGGACACAGATGTACATACAAAGGCGCCAGCTCAGCGAGTCTACCTTCAGTACTTGGAGGGTCTCATTGTATTCTAATCCTTTGCTGATTCTGGAGGCTCCCTCGTTGGTGATGCCATTGCTACTGACATCTATGTAGACCAGACAGCTGTTGACTCTGAGGACATCCCCCAGAGCCAGAGCTCCTTCATTCCCAAAGCCATTCATGGAGACATCCAGTTTCTTCAGGGTCACATTAGACTCCAGGGGAGGGGAACAGCACTAGCATCAAGGTGAGGTGAGACTTACCCAGGAAAATGCCTTGACTGCAGCCCAGCCCCAACCCCCACCACCGCCCTCATCCTAACTGATCTACCCCCATAACACACTTCACCCTTACCATCACCCCCCCCCACAATTCTTAACCCATCCCATCCCAGCCTAACCCTCACTCTCCCCTTCCCCTCTCCATCCCCTCAGAGCTCAGTGGTTTTTCTGTAGAGACAGATCTACACAATTATTCTTGTTCCCTCCAGAGGGGGTTCATTCTCAAGTTCTCTTGAGATTCCTTCCTTTTGGGATCTCATCTCTCTGCTCTTTAGCTAAACCATCCTCCGAAAGCATCCCTTAAGGAGGTACTCAGGCCTTAGCAGGGAGGATTTATAAAATAGAAGTGCACATCCAGGAATCATGAAAGGAGACCCAACAACTCCAAAGACTTGGTGAAAGCTCTGTACACCTGAATCCATGGTGACATCGAGGAAGCAGTTCAACTCACCTCTTGGAGTGTGACTTACCCGGAGACCGTTACACAGGGCCACAGCTGCCCGAATGTGGAAGTGATTCCAGCTCAGGTTCAGCGACTGGAGCCCTACATTGAGGGCTGAGAGGGACAGAGACTCAGCTCAGCATCTCCCAAGACCTGGCCTCAGACCCACAGCACTGGAGATGGGTATGCAAGCTAGAACACTTAGGTGACAATTTTGGGGCTTCCATGTGGGTGCTGGGAATTGAACTCAGGTCCTCTGGAAGAGCAGTCAGTGCTCTTAATCACTGAGCCATCTTTCCAGCCACCACCATCCCCCCTTTTTAATTTTTAAGCAGAGTCTCACTATACCACCCTTCTTTTAATTTTTAAGACAGGGTCTCACTATGTAGCCCTGGCTGGCCTGGAACTCACAGAGATCCATCTATGCCTCCCAAGTGCTAGGATTAAAGCTGTGTGCCAACATGCCTGGTCAGGTGATAATTTTCAGCTAGTTATTTAAATACAAGAGTAAAGGATGACCCTTAACTCTGGGAAAGATGACTTAAAACAGTCCCACTCTTCTGTTAAAGAGGTCAAATGGCTTTTATTCAGTTTTGTTTATGTGTGAATGTTATGCCTGCATGTATGTGTGTATATTATATGCATACTTGGGGCCCATGGAGGTCAGAAGAAGGCATAGGATCCCTCAGAAGTGGAGTTATACATAGCTGTTAATCACCATGTGGGTGCTGGGAATCCAACTTGGGAGCAGCAAGTGCTGTTAACTGCTGAGCTATCTTTCCATCCCTGAGCTCTATTTTATTTTAATTCACACACGTGTGTGTGTGTGTGTGTGTGTGTGTGTGTGTGTGTGTGTGTGTGAAGGTATGTCATGTGTGTGGGGCTGCTCAAAGAGGCCAGGAGAGGGTGTTGGTCTTCAGGAGTTGGGGTTCTATGGGGTTGTGAACTGCCTGACTTGGGTGCTGGGAACAGAACTCAGGCCCTCTGCCAGAGCAGCAAGCAGTTGTAATGGCTGAGCCGTCTCTGCAGCATTCATGCAATCTGCTTCTCTGCACCATCTAATCACCGGCAAGGTTTGCTTCTCATATCCAGATGTTGACTTTGCTCTGTTATTCTATGCATGATACACACCACTTTTGTAATGGGAACGCTCAGGACACAGATCTATGATCCAAACACTTGAGAGGCAGAAGCAAAAGGACCTCAAGTTCAAGGCCAACTCTGGGATTTAGAAGCAATGCAACACAGTTTCAAAAAAACAAAACCCAACACAACAAACCAAACCAAACCAACCAACCAAGCAACCAACCAACCAAACAAAAACAAAACAATACAATCAATAAACTACAGAACAAAAACACAGCAAAAACCACATCAAAAGAGGAACCAACAAAGCAAACACCCCAGAGGAAACATTTAAGGTTAAGTTAATAAAAAAGGGAAGGGGTTGGAGAGATGGCTCAGTGGTTAAGAATACTGGGTGCTTGTGCAGAGGACTTGGGTTCAATTCCTAGTGGAACTGTCTGTAACTCTAGTTCCAGGGAATCCAGTGCCCCATCTGGCCTGCACAGGCATCAGACACATTCATGTTACATGTACATACATGCAGGCAAAGCACCCATACATATAAATGGAGAGCTGGAAGTGGTCTCCTCCTCAATCCCGCTTCCCAGTTCCTTCCCGCTTCCCTCCATGGGGACATACCGAGCATCTGTCCCAGGTACTCCCCTCCTACATCAGAGAATTGGTTGTGGCTGAGGTTCAGTGACCTAATTCTGTAATTGGACTAAAGAAACAGATTGTAGAGAGGTTAATTTTCTTTGACATATTTGAGACAGAATATCACTACATAGTTAGAACAGGCTGGCCTTGAACTCTCTATCCTTCTCCCTCAGCCTCCTGAGTTCTGGGATTACAAACACGGGCCATCATGCCCAAACACGAGGTTATTTTTGTCTTTTGATTGAGTATCTTTCAGTTAACCTTGAGGCAGAATGATAAAGGGCTCCTAGGTACCTGAGACTGGGTGGGCTGGTGTTCATAAGCAAATGGTTTCCTATACATTAAAAACAAAAACCAAAAAACAAAAACTTAACTGTTAATGGTTTCTTGGAGAATTATTGCCACCCAGAGAGTTCTACAACTTGCTGAAGTTTTTGCAGGGAACAAACATACATTAGTTCCCCAAAGCAGGCAAGTGGCTTTCTTTGCCCAGAGTGTCACCGAGGTCACCCAGAATTCCCAAGGGACATTCTTACATGTTCCTTACCGACAGGGCTTGGCATAAAAGTGCAGCAGATTCCTCCTTGAAGTTGTTTCCTGCAGTGAAAGTGCCTCATTAGCAATGCACTCCAGACAATCTATGCTCCCTTATTGGTCAGGTCCTTTCTTTCCCTTTGATAAAAGTGTGCCCTCCCTGTTCCCCCGGCACACACACATACAAGATGAAGCACTTAGTGTGCTAAGAATGACTAAGACTTGGACTAGAGAGATAGCTCAGCAGTTAAGAGCACTGACTGTTCTCCCAGAGGACCCAGGTTCAGTTCCTAGTATGGCAGCTCGCAGCTATTTGTAGCTCGAGTTCCAGGGGATCCAAAGCCTGTTCCTGGCTTCCATGGGCACCAGGAACACATGTGGTATACAGGTATACATGCATGCAAAACACCCCCACACAAATAAAAGTTTAAAAAGAAGGCCTAACAATCACATAGACCTCCCCTGGCACCAGAGGAAATAAATGAAGAGACAAGCATCTGAAAAGATGTCGTATCTCAATGTAAATTGTTGGTGACTAGTGCCTTTGAATGCCCCAGCTTGGTACTTTAGCCTGTAATCCATGTTGTCTTCAGGATCACTGTCTGAGCTGTATCATGTAGTGGTTCTTGGTTTATACAGGAGAAGCATGAAGTTCACTGAGTGAAGGGGTGGGCAGGTGTCAAAGCTGGGATTCAGGTCCACCCACCGTGACCTCAACAGCTACACATTTAATCACTGGTTCACAGGAATCTTGGTTAATACCCTTCTGTAGTAGAATAGGGTGACAATTCGTTGATAGAATCATAACCTGCTCTAGGCTTTTTAAGGGGTAATGCCGAAGTTAAACTTGAATTTCACTAAGGTGGATGTATCTACACATTATACCCTAGGGTGTCCATCTAAATATAGAAGACGTGCCCAAAAGATGTGCATGCAAGAAAGTCCTTTGAAGCATTAATGGACAGGACCGACCTGTCACCGTACACGGGTGTTAATAGCATACGCTGTCCCCCTACAACATGGAGGACTATTCAGAGAGTGAGATAAGTCTGCTTGTCCGTCCCAGGGGTGAACAAGTGAAAGAGAGATACCGGGCGTACGGTAGAGATTATATTCAAAATAAGCATTTTTTTCTAGAGATTTTCTTTTGACATATGGATATTTTTATCTTTGTTTTTAGATTTTTGCTTTTGTGGTTGTTTTTTTTTACTGTTTGAGATAGGGTTTCTCTGTGTAACAGTCCTAGCTGCCCTGGGACTCGAGTTGTAGACCAGGCTGGCTTCAAACTCACAGAGATCCTTCTGCTTCTACCTCCTGAGTGCTGGGATTAAAGGTGTGAGCCACCACTGCCCGGCAAGATATGAATGTTTTAAGACACTGCTTGTACCTAGCTTTCCCACGGGGTGTTGGGGATCTGAACTCAGACCCTCATGCTTTCTCCGCAGGCACTTTACCCACTGAGGCATCTCCCGATCTTTGGATTTTCCTTCCATAAGGTCACAGAAACAGAAAACGAATGAATGCATTGTCTATGTCTGAGAATTCTAATTTTCTGAAACTGCAACTGTCCACTTTTTAAGTTTTTTTTTCCCTAGTCAGTTTTGCAGTTTTGAACCACCTGGGCTGGGGCTTATGTATGGGAATACCAAAACCAGTGGGTAAAGACTGGTTCAGCATAGGATCACTCTTCATATTCATTTCTTGGCAAATACGTTGCACCCTGTAGATAGCATAAATCTGCAAATCCAAGTGAGGGTGTATCTGGGTACTAGAATTTCCAAGTGAGCCTGTCCCCCCAATAATAGATAGGGCATCACTCAGTTCAAAGTAGACATGTAATAATCAAGTGGTTAACACGCATTAAGGCAACTGGAGAGACAGGACAGAGAGTAATGATGACAGAGCATTGCTGTCATGATAGGGGTCAGAGAAGTCCCTTTAAAAGGTGACATAAAGGTGAAGGCATGAAGGCAGAGAGGGAGCCAGGCAGATGCCAGAAGGTGGAGATGTCCACAACAAGGGAAGAGAGTGCTGAATGGAGAGAGAGAGCTTGTTAAGAGAGCAGGAAGCTGGCATGGCCCTGGAGGTGTGGCCCTGGAGGGGCAAGGCTGCCTGGTCCAGAGGGGAAGATGCAATGTGCTGTTCTGAGACCAAACACAGTCGGACCCTAGATGGTCTGTATTCCTCTCCTTTTGTCCTTTCCTCCCCTCCCATGGGCTCACCTGAAAGTTTCAGTTTCCAGAGTGAAGAGTTGTTTTCCTGGAGGAAGTCTGAGATGATCCTGGCACCCTCCAACCCAAGGTCATTGTTAGACAAGTTCTGAGAGGTAAGAGCACACACTCAGGAAAGAATCACACAAAAAGGCCCTCAAAGACGAGAGAGGCAGGGAGGCTGTTGAGGGCTGACTGAGAGAAAAAGATGGAGTAACAGGTTTAGGATTAAGGTAATGCAAAAGACAGAGATGGAGTCTAGGAAGCTTGTCCCCAGTCTGGCTTTTCTAATATCTCTCACTGATCTCCCCCCCCCCCAGTATTGTCTTTAATAACACCCGACTCCCTCAATTTAGCCCTGGGACTTCAGATAAGCATATTGGTTGTTTGTTTTGAAACTTAAGGCAGATTCATTTAGAGAATTCAAAAATGAGCCACCTCACCAGGTCCCTGCTTTGCAAGGAAGAAAACAACCATCGCATTTGGGGACTTGTATGGTGCAGCTAGAGTTGACTCTTCAGGGTTTCCCACAGCCACAAGGTACATTGCCTGAGCCAGCCTTTGAGAAGGTGTGTCTAGAGAGGAGGATCTCACAGACTGGCTTGAGATGGATAGCCCAAAGCTGACTTGGGCCTGGGTAGGGGCTCTGGCTTGGCCTGAGTGATTCTGAGCCCCCAAGTGTGTCGGGAGAAGCGGGAGGAGGAGGGGCTGGAGGAGGAGGGGCTGGAGGAGGGGGGGCCGAAGGAGGGGGGTGCCCTACCAGCTCCTGCAGGTAGTAGTTCTCATGCAGCATCTCCGTCAGACTCAAGACCCCTTCCTCTTTGATGTAGTTATCTTCCAGCTCCAGTATGAGGATCGTCGTGTTGGACTTTGACCATCGCAATGGGAGAGGAAGGGAGACAAGGAAGTGGTTAGTGACTAAGGTGGTTCTCTGTCCACTCTGGTCCAGAGCTTGGCTTTTCTCTAGAACACCCCAGGCATGTGAGAGGGTGCTGTGTTGGATCCCAGTGTGGTGATGTCTAAGAGTTAGGGAGACCATGGCTCTGTCAGTAATGGGCTAGCCAGGCAAGCATGAAGACCATAGTTCAGCTAGCTACTCATGGTGCATGCCTGTAATCCTAGCACCGGGAAGATGGACGCTGGAGGACCCTGAGCCAGCCAGCCAGTCAAGCTGAACCCGTGAATTCCATGTTCAGTGAAGGATCCTTAATATGACAGAGAGCAGTGTAAGAAGTCACTTGACATCAACCTCTCTCTCTCTCTCTTCTTTCTCTCTCTCTCTCTGTCTCCCTCCCTCCCTCCCTCCCTCTCTCTCTCTCTCTCTCTCTCTCTCTCTCTCTCTCTCTCTCACACACACACACCATGTTAGTGAGAACTTTAAGAAGTGGGGCCCAGGGGATAAAGAAATGACTTAGTGTTACAAGAGCATACTGCTTTTGCAGAGGACTTGAGTTTGATTCTCAGTACCCACAGCTGCAGCTGCCTGTGGCTGCAGCTCCAAGGGGATCTGACTCCTCTGCAGGCACGTGCACTCACACCATCCATATATACATGATTAAAAACAAAAATAAAGCTCAGAAAAGGGAAGTGTGGCCTAGTGGGAGGTGGTGACTGACTCTCCCTGTGCATGCTTCTGCTGGCCTTCCTATCTTATCATTCCCTCCACTGTTAAGCCATGAGGTCCTCACCAGAGCAGAGCTGATGAGCCCTTGAACCCAATTAGCTAGACAGAGCTCTTTTCTTCCTGAAGTCACTAAGCCTCAGGTATTGTGGCAATGGGTAAGAACTGATGTAAAGGGCATGGAGATGTAGACTAGGAGTCTAAGGTGTGTGGCGTTGAGGAGGGCAGTACAGAGGATGTGCTATCCCTTTAAGCCTCTCTAGAGCGATGTTTTCTGCAGGTCCCAGCAGCTTTTGACAGTGGTGCTGTTCTCCTAATGGGCAAGGATGGAACGTTGCAAGGCTTTGGAAATTGCCATGAGTTTTGTAGCTTGATAGACATCCAAGCCCAGAGTCAGCTTCCTTGTCTGTCATCCTCTTAGGCTGTATCACTCACTGAATCAGCATGCTCCACCCTCTTGACACCTGTCTCATAGGTCCAACTAGCTGTCCCCACACCTCACAGTCTGTTCCTTATGAACGTGTGTCTTCCACTTTTCAGACCCTTTATAAACAGACTGTGTTAAGGGTTCCTTCTCAGACCCTTTTGGATTTTTGTTCCTTCTGTGGACAACTGAAATATTACTGATTTTTATTTTGATGCAGGGTCTCATATAGTCCCAGGCTTGCCTGGAACTCGCCGTGAGGCCAAATTTACTTTTAAGTCCTAGTCTCAACCCCCCTGCCTCAGCCTCCTAAGTACTTGGATTACTGATATGTGCCAACATATCCAGTGTGATGATGCCATATCCAGCATTATTACTAATTAAAAAGATGTGTGTGTGTGTGTGTGTGTGTGTGTGTGTGTGTGTGTGTGTGTGTTAGGGTATGTCCTTCTGTATATATGTTTCTCTTATTGGTAATGAATAAAACACTGATTGACCAGTAGCCAGATAGGAAGTATAGGCGGAGCTACCAGATGAGGAGAATTCTGGGGAGAGGAGACAGAGAGAAGCCGCAAGAGAGGACACCATGTAGCCGAGCATTCTCAGGTTAGCCAAAACCACGTGGAAATACATAGCTTAATAGAAATGGGTTAATGGTCAAGAGAGAGCTAGCCAACAAGAAGCCTGAGCCAAACAGTTTGTAATTAATATAAGCCTCTGTGTGTTTAAGTGGAACTCACAGACTACAGGTCCAGGCAGAACAAAAACTGTCTACAAAATGTGTGCATTTGTGTGAATGTGCATGTTGTGCAGGTGGTTGTGCACAAGGAAGCCAAACACTGATATCAAGATGTCTTCCTCTATTGCTCTCCACATTTTTTTTTTCTTTTGAGACAGGGTCTCACTGTATAACCCTGACTGGGTTGGAACTTACTATGTAAACTAGGCTGGTCTTAAACTCGTGGAGGTCTGCCTGGCTCTGCCTTCCAAGCACTGAAATTAAAGGCATTCAGGACTACAAAAAAACCTAATTATTATTATTATTATTATTACTACTACTATACTACTACTACTACTACTACTACTACTACTGTTTTTTTGACAGAGTTTCTCTGTGTAACAATCCTGACTGTCCTGAAACTCCATCTGTAGATCAGGCTGGCCTCAAACTCATGGAAATTCACCTGCCTCTGCCTCCCAAATGCTAGGATTAAAGGCATGTGCCATCACCTCCCAATCCTCTCCACCTTATTCTTGAGAGATTATCTCACAGAATCCAGAGCCCACTGATTGGCTAGGTCTGGGGGGCCATGCAGTGAGATCCAGGGAGCCTCAGGTCTCTGTCTCTCCTGGGCCACGGTTACAGATGTACACTACCAAGACTGGCTTTTACATGTGTGCTGGGGACCTGAACTGAGCTCCTCTTGTCTAAGTGACACACACTTCACCAACCTAAGAACACCTGCCCAATTACTTTGCTGAACTTTTTTGAAATCAAACTTTCTCTTCACCTTCCTAAGTGACAGTCAGGGAGGTATTGACGTACAGTTGTCAAATTCTCTGTGATGTAGTTAGTTTCATATGTAATCAATTATATAAATCATATATATGTATAATATAATTGGCTTATATATATGTATAATATAATTGGCATATATATATATATATATATATATATATATATATATATAAATAAATTCAAGGTCAAGTCCTTGTTTGGTCATGGCAAGCCAAGAGATAATGTTATTCATTGGAAAAATGTGATTTACTCTGTGATATGATTTCTAAAATTGATAACGTGAAAGGCAGGCATCGAATGGAAAGGCTCAGTAGTGGCTCCCATGTATGGCCAAGGTCAGCTTTGGAATGGAGACCCAGGCCTACATTTTGTAATTGCAGTAACTCTTGGGCCTGGTTTTAGCCCACACGGGCTGATGCCTTGCTTCCCAACGAGGAAGGGCCACAGTCTTCAAAGTACAGCCTCTTCCAAGAACTAACAGAGAAAACAATGGCCAAGGACTGAGAAAGGGACCAGGGTAAGTTGCTCTTTAGACACCAAAGGGGTGCTCTCTGGATGTCAAACCAGTTGCCCTGTTAATCCTCTTCAGCAGGTTTGATGTGTTCCGATGGCCAGCATGCTCACCACCAGAGTTATAGCAATGGCCTTGGTACCCTTGGGGCCCAGCCCATGATGGTTGAGGTTCATGTAGGGCTCCTCCATGTTCCGGATAAAGTAGGAGACGGGCACTACACCCAACAGCTTGCAGGCCTCCAGGTACAGCTCCTTCTGTCCAATGGTGAAGAATTTCTCTGTGTCTGTATAGAAAGTCAGAATGAAACAAGGTTTCTTTTCCAGGCTGCCTTATCTCCAGTCACCCCAGGGGACGTGCTCTTCTGCCTGGACTTTCCTGGGTATGTGCTCTAGAACCTAGCTTCTCCAGCTGTGGGTAATGATGGGTATACAGGAAAGTGTAATCAAATGTGGGTGTGTGGGGGGGGGCACAAGGAAATGGCCACAGGAAAAGGTTTCTGAAGGTGCCATGAGCACAAGTTAATTTACAATCACACATATGACAATTGTGTTTCTGGCTGTGCTCGCCCATGTGGCATCTGGCATCTTCACCACAAGCTCCATTCTGAACACAGCTTGCACACTTAGCACTTTATATGCTGTTGCACTACACAACACCACAGCTGCCAAAACATCTGGGCTGTGGCTCCAGATTCTTCTGTATTATGAACTACAGTGTTTTTTTTTTTTTTTTCTGCACATACAAAGTTTCCCTCCTATTTTAAAAACTTGTCTTAGTTAGGCAATGGTGGCACACAACTTTAGTTCCAGTACTGGGGTGGCAGAGGCAGGTGGATCTCTGAGTTCCAGGCCAGTGTGGCAAGTTCCAGAACAGTCAGGGAGTGAAGAAACCCTGTCTTGAAAAACCAAAAACCCAAATGGAACCAAACAAAACAAAGCAAAAGCAAAGAACCAAGCAACTCATGTGGTTTGACTATGGAAGACAGAGACTTTCAATATTTCCCTACCATTGTTCCTCAGAATGTACATATCAACTCAGTACATTTTTGCATTGGATTGGATTATAACACAATTGTGTTACATTATAATACAAAAATATTTGAATTTTTATTTAATTTTTGTGATTTTTTTTTTTTTTGCAGCTGCCCTGTCTGTCCTAGAACTTACTATATAGACTAGACTGGCCTTGAACGCCCAGAGATCTATCTAACTTTGCCACATAAGTACTGGGATTAAAGGCATGTGACAACACACTTGGCTACAATATTTGATTTTAAAAATTTCTGTTTGAGGTGTTAACTTGTTGCAGAATATTTGATCACACTGTGAACCCTGAGTTTGCATTTGCATTAATTAAATAAAATCAACCTTGGGTCAAGAGGCCTAGTTAGCATCTAGTTGACAGAAGGTAATCATAGAAAGTCAGGTGGTGTCTGGAAGACTACAGACACACAGGAAGTAGTAGGGAGGGACTTAGTGTAGCATGTTTTTTGGGAGAATGGGGGAGTAGAAGGATATTCTCTCTCGGAGATGCCAGGTAAAAGAGAAGGCCAGCTAGTAGGTCTTCATTCCAGCCTCTGACTCCCAAGTCTTATTGATAAGTAGGATAGAGATTTAATTACAAACTATTTTTGGTGGTAGCAACAGAGCCAGTGCCCGAGGGAACGGGATTCCCAGGGTTGTATTAAAATTTCTCTGATGAGAAGACATTGTGAGTGGAAAGTTTAAGAAGCCCTGCCCTACATGCAGACTCCAAGCCCAGAGCCAGGAGTTTGGGAAGAGAGGGGACACTAACTTCAGATGTCCAGATGGACATATCCCTTTGGTTAAGAGGAGAGGCCAGTGGCTTTATGTCCTAGGCCTTCTTAGGAAACAGGAAGGTGCCTTTGGTCACCTTCCTAGGCTGGCCACATGCAAAGACTGGTCATTACAGGCCCCGGCCTTTTGTCTGCTTTTGGACCACACTGGGGCCAAGCAGTAGCCCAGAGTTGTTGACTTTTGACAACTGAAGGAATCTCTAATTCAATCTTAGTTTCACTAGCACTGCTTTTTATTATTATTATCTGTGTACAGGTATTTGGCCTGCATGTATGTCTGTCCACCATGTGTTTGCTGGTGCCCATAGAGACCAGAAGAAGGTGTTGGATTTCCTTGTATTAGAGATGGTTATAAGCCAGCATGTGGGTGCTAGGAACTGAACCTGGGTCCTCTAGAAGAGCAACCAATACTCTTCACCACTGAGCCATCTCTCCAGCCCCAGCTAGTCTTCTTAAAACATAAGCTGTGGCCAGTGGTACAGCATGGCAGTAGAGTGAGGAGGTCGTGGCTACATGAGTCCTTGGCTTGATTCCCTAGCACCACAAAAAATGCGAGCCACAAATAAAGCTTTGTCAAAGATTTGGAGAAGGGCCAGTTTTGTTTTGTTTTGTTTAAAAGAAACACTTGTATACATCATTTTGGCTATCAGATTATTTAAACAATGAACCCTAAGAAATTAGAATTCACCAGGGGTCTCATGCAGGGAGAAGGAAAGGTTGAAACCTGGTGCTAGCTGGGGTAGGAGCGTTTCTCCTGGAAAGAGAGTTCACCTGGCCCTGACAGATAGTCAGATCATCTTGAAGGGGAGAGAAGCAGAGATGTTGATGGTGACCTGTACCACACCTGGCCTTGGATTGCCCAGCTATGCATACCTCTTGCCCTCTATTTAAACCCAAACTTATGACAGGGTCCTGACAAAGGACTTGGCAGCGTTGGGCTACTGGATTTCTTTGTTTCTCTTCATGACATGGTTATAGGAAGTAAGTCTCCCTTTTCTGCTTTTCACTATTAATTGTGTCTTTAGTTGACCTATTGTGGAGGAGAGGCTGAACCAGTTAAGGCTGTCAGGGTTTGGGCAATCAACAACTGGGGCCCTGACATGAACAACTCTGGTAACAGTCTCAAGGCAAGAAATTAGCCCAAATCAGTCAAAAACAAGCAAGCTTGCACCTTTGTGGGCTTTTCTATCCTGATGGAATTCCTCACTTAGGCTCTACGTCCCCAGTGACAAATATAGACATAGATTCCACACAGCTGATCAGTACTAACAGAACAAGAAACCCCATCTCTCTATTGCAAGCCCTTGGGCTCCTTTAGACTTCAGACCAGCCTGGTCCATGGACAGTGGGCATCAAGCCTTTCTGGATAAAGGGGAAATGAGATGGAACAAGGAGCCTCAGGCAAAACGTTCAGTGTTGCTCTTTGTCATGTCTTCCAACTAGGCAAAATTGAAGGCAGAATTAACAGCTGGGCAGTGGTGGCACACGCCTTTAATCCCAGCATTCGGGAGGCAGAGGCAGGAGGATTTCTGTGAGTTTGAGGTCAGCCTGGTCTACAGAGTGAGTTCCAGGACAACCTAGCCTACTCAGAGAAACCCTGTCTCAAAAGAAAGAGAGAGAGAGAGAGAAAGAAAGAGAAAGAAAGAGAAAGCAGAATTAACAACAGCCGAGACACAGGGTGGCTGGGGAGCAGTGAGGAGGAGGTCTGAGGAGAAGAGGGGATTTCCATGCTGACTGGTAGGTTGGTCTTAGAATCTGACATTAGGGGAAAGGTTCATTTTGCTCGCCTCTATTGATGTGGCCTGAGAGCCACTGACTGCCACACGTGTTCAAGAATACACGAGAGGGTGGGATAATGGTAAATAGAAGTAATCTCAGCACTGGGGTGAGGTCAAGATCATTCTTGGCTATATAGCGAGTGAATTCAAGGGCTGCCTGGACTACATGAAACCCTTTCTCAATAGGACAAAAGCAACAAGAGAAGATGGTGATTTGGGCTGGACTAAGCCTGTAAAGCTGAATTGGGCTGGACTAAGCCTGTAAAGCTGAAGGCTGCCCCCATCCAATGGGACCTGCATCCTTCTCCCCTTGCTTCATAGATTTCACAGATGCTCTCAAATGATCCTCTTTTCCCTCGGCACCTCTCCCCTTGCGGCTAATGAGGAAAAAGGGATGCCGGTGGTACTGTTCGTGAGAACCGAGTGTCTGCATCAACCCCATCAGCTGGGGTAACCAGGCATGCTTGATTTGTTGCGATAAAGCTTGGGACTCTGAAGCAGGAGAAACAAGAACTCTTAGGTGACCAGGAAGTCATGGCGTTAGGGCAGCAGGGACACACCAGGGTACTGCATGGGATACTGACTGCCAAAGACAGGTCAAACGTGGCGTCAGCTTATGGAGCCCTGGCAGCTCTTGGTGGTTTCAGGAGACCCTCACAGTTTTTAAGCCTGTTTACATTCTAGAAAAGATGCAATCAAGTCTGCTTTCTGGGGTTATGAAAACAAAATCGCAAGAGAGTCACATGGGTCGGGGTAGAGTGGGGTGAGGTGGGGTGGGGCTGGAGAGGTAGTTCATAGGCTGACAGCACACACTTAGAAAACCTGAATTCAGCCAGTGGCTGAAACCCATGTCAAGAGGTCTGCAAGTACTTTGGCTCCAGGGGTATCTGATGCCTCTGGTCTCTGAGAAAGCAGCTGGACTCTTGTACACACACACACACACACACACACACACACACACACACACAATCACACACACCACATTTTTCAAAAAAAATCACCTGGGAGGGATGTAAAAGACCAGAAACTTTTGTGTGTTGGTTTAGGTCCTAACAACAACCTGATGTGGGTCCTGCTCAGAAGGTCCTGTGTTGTATCCCGCCAACCAGGAGCAACAGGTGGCCTAGAACTGAGCCTTCCTGTCCCCATCTTCCAGCCTGCCAGAGAGGAACATTCTGGCGGAACCAAATCTCTCCAGTTCCTGAGGAAGCTGGTTGGCCACCCACCTTTTGTCAGATGTTACCTCACCTTCAATTTCCAAGTCGGTTTCTGAATCCTCCCGGGTGGGTTTCTCTTTCTCGACACTCTGAGGGGCCTCAGCTTCGCAGTAAAGGACGTCATCACTGTTCTGAAGTGCTAAAGCAGTTTCCGCATCATCTGGAAGGAAATCCCATCCCGTTCTGGGTGACACTTTCGACAGACTCCCCTTAGTCTCTGCCTCCCAGGTTCTGCCTGTGGCCTTTGTCCCATAGATTCACATAGCACCCCTGCCAGGGAAACCCCCTTCTTAAGGCCTCCGCATGGAATTGGTGGAGGCCGGTGTCCTTTGTCAATGGACATCTGCAGTCCCCTTCCCCGGTCAGCCTGCTTTTGGTGGGGCCCTGGATCACACTCCTCCCTCATCATTTGCATGGAAGGATTTTGGGGTCTGCTGTTGAGTCTGTCTTTTTTTTTTTTTTTTTTTTTTTTTTTTGTGGTGAAAAAAGTGTGTCCCAAAGGTACTTCCAGGTCACACCCTGTGCTTCCGGGAGGTAAGTGAAAGGCAGGACAGGTGGGAAGTGGGATTGGATGCAAAAAAAAAGAGAGAGAGAGAGAGAGAGAGAGAGAGAGAGAGAGAGAGAGAGAGAGAGAGAGACCGAGTTCTTTTCCAGGGAGGAGACAGTTGGATTTCTAGAAGTTGGCCTAGCTTCCCTTCCCTCAAGTCCCACCATTCCTGGGCCTATGAAGGAGGGGCTTGCCAATGTCTCCTGAGCTTCTGAAGTTCACTGCTATGATTAAGCATGCTTGTCTTCACTGGCTGAAGCTCTGGAGAGAGCAACAGGGTCTCCTTCACACTGGCTCTTGGACTTGTTGGATATGGTTTGTGCACTGGGCCACTGAGCGGTGGATTCCTGAAACCTCTGGCAGCATCAGGCCTCAGTGGTTCAGGAAGCTACAACTACGCTTCCCAAAGGCCTAGCAGATAGGGCCAGCCTACTCTCCCAACCCTCCTCTCTCCCCCTCCTATTGGTTTTATTCATTTTTATTCTCTGGTAATTTTATCCATCTCCTCTTTTAGTGGGTTGAGCATTATGTATCCCTCTCCTCCCACCCTGGGTTTTCACAATTCAGATGCTAGGATGGTAGACTTCTTAATGATCCCAAGTAGGCGTGTGTCTTCAGTTACGTTCACAGAGCCAGGTCCCAATATTCATCCCCAAGTCTCTGTGACAAGTTTCCATGTGACGTGTAATTTGAGTAGCCCAGTGGTCCGGAAGCATTCAGCCACTGAGCTGCCCAGACTGCTGCCCTGTCTGGGTGCATTTCTGAGTTTCAGTTCCTTTATAAGTCAAATAATAAAAGAAAGGAAGGCAAGAAGAAAGGGAGGGAGGCAGGAAAGAAAGGAAAGGGAGAAAGAAAGGAGAGAAAGAAGGAAATGTCTGCTGGGAGGAGTACAGCTTGTGTGTGTGTGTGTGTGTGTGTGTGTGTGTGTGTGTGTGTGTGTGTGTGCTTGCAGTGCCTGTGGAGGCCAGAAGAGGGCATCAAGTCCCCGGGAGTTGGCATTACAGGTTACTGTAAGTCCCTGGGAACTAAAGTTCTCCTGAAGAACGAAGAGCAGAAAGCTTCAAGTGCTGATCCATCTCTTCAGGCCCTCAGCTTTAGAATTCCTAGAATTCCACTCCACGAAGGGGATGCTAGCAAATTAACAACTGTCAGCCAATTCATGCCGTATAAACATTCCAAATATGGCTGATTTCTAACTATCAATGTGATGTCAACCAATCTACAAAATGGAAGTTGACATTGGCTAGAGCTCGTAAGAGCCAAGTCCAACATCACAACTTGCTATATTTGAGTGGTTTCTAAACCCTGCCGATAATGTAATACATCATCTCCATTGCAGAGACTCAGCAGAGGGAGAAGGGTTGTTGGGTTGGGGGTGGGGAGAGCTACCTGATCACTGGACACTACTCTGGCTCTGGGAAGGGAGAGAGATGGGGACCTTTTCACCTTTGGTATCAGACTCAAGAGGCTCTTCATCATCATCGTCCATGCTGGCAGGACTCTCTTGGGGGCTGGTGACAGCTTCTTGTCCCCTGGTGGCTGCTTCCCTAAGATGCACACCTGTCCATTCAGCTCTCTTTCAAACTATGTGCACTGCCCTATCCAGGGCGAATCCAAAAGGAACCTGTAGCTATTTTTTCATCCCAGCAAGCTTGGAGGAGAGCCGGCTTTGGTGGGAATCTGGCAAGCATGGATTTGCCTCCAATTTTGTCTGGGGGAGGTAGCTAGACTTGGGGCTCATTGGGGGCAATGGTAGAGCTCTATTTCCCTGGACCCTGGTCAAAAAGGATGCCCACCCATTTATGACTTTGTGACATAAGAGCTACTTCCCTTTTAACTCCAACATTCCATGATCTCATGTAGTCATTGTGATCCTTGAGGGTGGACCCGGCAACGGCAGGCCTCCCGCCCTCTTGGTGGCTCTGGTGGTCACCTTTTCTCATATGTTCGCTGGGTCCAAGCCCAGGCTTGGCTGTGAGTGCTTGGGTGCTGTGGGGGGCCCTCTTAGCGACAGCCTATTTCCTTCTGAGTCAGCACCAAACCCAAGGCTCTTAATCAGGTGACTGTGGAGCGCCGCCACCATGTTTTTCTCTCAAGGTGGCTGCGCTTCAGGTACAAAGTATTTCAGTGATGGGTGAAGTCAGATTTCTTCTACCCAGTTCTTTTTTTTGCTTGCACCCTTGGGAGAGCGTCCTCAACCTTGGAGCAGAAGGACAAAAGCAAAGCACCACAAAGCATATGTTCTATCAATACGGTTTATTGCTGCCACAGCACTGTTCAAGCCAAACTGCTAGGCTGTTTAACTTGAGGCCAGCATTCCCACGCTCAGCCGGGATTCCCACACTCGGCCAGGATTCCCACGCTCAGCTGTGTTCACATGAGGAGCTGACGTTCACTTGCAGTGTGGTGTCGGGAGGACCTGAGGGCCTGTCTGCTGCTCCTTGATTAAGACTTCAGGGCATCAACAGGTCAGTGGCTGGAAGATGGGGGAGGGTGGGTGGGCGAAAGTCCCCTTTTTTGTTATTTACAAGATGAAGATCCAACAATCTGGCTTGGTAAAATACGGTTACAGGTGTGTAAGTGTAGGACGCCGCTAGTCAGTTCTCTTCTTCCATCTTGTGTGTGAGGCCTGCTTCTTGTCTCTGTGTTGTGTTGTATGTTGTGTACTCCAGGATGGCTGGTCCACGAGACAGGCCAATTCTCCCACAGGAGTGCCAGAGTTACAGATGCACACCACCACAGCTGCACTTTTACGTAGGTTCTGGGGATTGAACTCAGGTCATCAGGCTTTTGAGTTGATCTTTGTGCAGGAGGTAGAGAGTCATTTGCACACGTGCATGCTTGATTGTCTCAGCACAGCCACTGAAAGGACTCCTCTCTTCTCATGTGAGTGTTTTCATCATTTTCATTCACTGTTGAAATTGTGTTCCTTTTGTTTTGTGTCATAACCAACCAGGGCTGGTGGCACTTGCCTGTCATCCCAATACCCAGGAGGCAGAGTTGGGAGGATCACAAGTTCAAGGTCAGCTTGAACTACTGGTTTCAAACAAAAACAAAACCTCAGGAGGCTGCATTGTACAATCTAGTTAAACCACTGGGCTTTAAATGACTAGTTTGTGAGTCAGTGCCCTACAACGCTTGGAGGTAGGCCTGAGGGCACCTGGAGATGAATTGATGCTGCAGGCAATTCAAAGAGGAGGGCGCTATGATTTCAGAATAAGTCAGAGAGGATCACCTTCTAGGGCAAGATGTCAAATACAAAGAGAATGATAATTGGGCCATGAAGATGACTCAGTGGTTAGTAGCTCTTGCCACCAAACCTGATGGAGCTAAGTTAGATCCTTGGGCCCCACATGGTGGAAGGGGAGGATGGAATCCTGAAAGCTATCCTTGATTTCTAAGTGTGTGCTGTGGCACTATCCTTAACCCAAATGCACCAACAAAAAGAAGATAATCTTCACTTGTCCCTTCCTCCTTCCCTCCCTCCCTTCCTCCCTCCCTCCCTCCCTTCTTTCTTCCTCTCTCTCTGTCTCTGTCTCTGTCTCTCTCTCTCTGTGCCCTCACATAAGCATGCAGAGGACAGAGTGGGTAACTTCAGGAGTCTTCCTCTATTGCCTTCCATTTTATTTTATTTTATTTATGTGTTAAGGGTGTTTTATCTGCATGGGTGTCTATGCATGCACTGCTTGCATGCCTGGGTAGGGCAGGCATGAAAAGGCCAGAAGAGGGCACTGTGTCTTTTGGAACTGGAGTTACAGATCGATGCCTTATTGAGGCTGGAAATGGAATCTGGGTCTTCTGAAAGAGCAGTCTATGCTCTTAACTACTGAGTAATCTTTCCAGCCCCCACTGTTGTTTGTTTTGCCAGGGTCTTTCACTGAATCTGAATCTTGATGGTTTGTTTTGTTTGGGGCTAGATTGGCTGGCCAGCAAGCTCCCAGGACCAGCCTCCCAACACTGGGGTTACAGGCATGCATGACCATGCCTGGTTTTCATGTAAATGCTTGGGGTTAGAGCTCAGGTCCTCTTGCTTTTACAGTGAGTACTTGTGATGGATATTCTTGGCTCTCAGCTTGATTACATCTGGAATAGCCATCACAAGTACTAAAAACACAAGTCACTGGGTAGACCGTTGAGGGATTTACAGTGATAGTCAAGTTGACAACCAAGAATGGCCATCTCAGTACTCTTAATGGAGACATCCCTCAATCCCGATTTTCTTCTTCATTACTGGAGTTTCTGCTCACCAGTGAGGGAGTCCTTTGTGTCCCATGTGTTAGCATTTATATAGCTCGGTAAGCGCCACACTCTGCTCCATGAACTTTTAGATGACTTCATGCATTTCAGCTGCTCAACACCTCCATTATTCCCATTTTGCAGATGAGACTGACAGAAGGGTTGAGTAACTGGTCCAAGGTCACAATGCTAGTAGGTGACCAAGTGGGGATGTAAGTGGACTCTGTCTGGCTTTAGACCCCATGCTGCCTGTGCAGGGATTTCTGTGTTTCAATAAAACAAGGTTGTTTCTCTCTGGGGCAACTGTAGTTCTTAGCTAAGAAAGGTTGAGCTCAAGTGGTGTATTGCAGGACTGGGAAACAGTGTAGTGTACTGGTTAAATCTGGACCCTGCTTGTTTTTATAAAGTTTTGTTGACACACTTATTTCAGACCACTTTAGGCATGGTTATGACTTCTTTCAGAACTCTAGAAAGCCCGAACTACATCCTATCTGGTTCTTTAAGAAAGAGCATTAGATAGGGTGATCCAGAAAGGGAAGTTCAGTTTCTTAGAGGGAAAAGAATAGAGACAAAGGGATTAAAGTAGTGATTCTCAACCTTCCTAATGCTGTGATTCTTTAATACAGTCCTCACATTGTAGTGACCCCAAACATAAAATTAGTTTTGTTGCTACTTTATAAGTTTGCTACTGTTATTAATCATAATGCAAATGTTTAACATGCAGGGTATCTGATATGCAACCACTAGAGGTCTTGAACCACAGGTTGAGAACCATTGGATTAAAGGGAGGATTAGCAGAAACCACATTAAAAGGAAACACAACCTAAGAAAGGAATAAAAGTGTTGGTTGTAATGATGTCAGATTTTATGCAAATCAAAATTTTTGATACAGGTTTTGCTATGTAACTCAGGTTGACTTTGAACTCATAGTGTTTACCGTGACTCTGCCTCCTAAGCACTGGTATAACAAGTGTGTGCAATCATGTCTGGCTTGGGATTTATTGATGTTGTTGATGTTGTAATGCGTGTGTATGTGACCAGAGGTTAATGCTCTATTGCTTTCCATCTTTTCAAAACGTGTGTGTGTGTGTGTGTGTGTGTGTGTGTGTGTGTGTGTGTGTGTAGATTTGTACATGTGAGTGCAGTGTCCTTGAAGGACAAAAGAGGGCATCAGATCTTCTGGAGCCAGAATTATAGGTGGTTTTGAGGTTCCTGATGTGGGTACTGGAAACCAAGTCCTCTGTAAGAGCACTGTATGCTCTCAACACTGAACCATCTCCCCAGCCCCATTCCCACCAGTTTTGTTTTGTTTTTGGATACAGGACTCTCACTGAAATTGGAGCTCACTGATTGGCTAGTGACCCCCAGAATCCTAACAGCGTTGGGATTACAGGAGTGCACTGATACATTGGGATTTTTATGTGGGTGCTGGGGATCCAAACTCAAGCCATTATTCTTGCCCACTAAGCTATCTCCCTAGCCCTAGAATTTTTCAAATGATAGTTTTAAATGGCAAGATTTCAAATATGGGGGTATGTGTGGAATTAATTACTTGTCTCCTTGCTGTGACAAAAATACCTGGTAGGAACAGATTAAGGATGGAAGGGTTTATTTGGCTCACAGTTCAAGAATAGATATAGTACATTATGGCAGGGAAGGCATTTGGCAGGAGTGTGAAGAGCCTGATCACATTGTGCCTGCAGTCAGGGAGCAGAGAGTGGACAGGAAAAGGGGGCTAGCCATAAAAATCTCAAGGCCAACCTCCGGTGATACACTTCCTATAGTTAGGTCCCACCTCCTAAAGGCACTACAGCCTTCCAGACTGGCAACACCAGTTGGGAACAAAGTTCAAACTAAGGAGCATAAGGGAATGGACATTCCATATCCAAACCACATTCAGTGATGGCACTGGGCAGGGTGAAGGGGGTAAGAGAGTGGACTTCAGGGTGTATGCTGTCTACTGAAGGGCGCAGATGAATGGATAATTGAGCCCAGAGTGGAAGAATGCTAAGGGACTTCAGGTCTGTACCGGGGGCAGTACTGTGTGCTATGTGAGTGGTGGAGATCTGAGACTCTCGAAGAAAAGATGCCTAGGCCGGAAATGTCCACTAGACAGCAGCCAGGCAATGAGGGTGGGGAGGAGTGTTTATGGCTGACAAAGAAAAGCATGTACAAAGCCATCGCAGCATGTTAAGGCCAGTGTATGAGTCCCATTGGAAAAGGACATGCTGAGAAAGGAGCTGGGACAGCTTTGCATCTTGACACATAGACAGCTTTGCAGAAAAGCCTTTAAGCAATAGAATGACCTAGTGGGTCTTGCACAGTGGAAAGCATGCTCTGGCTGCACTATGCACCATGGATTAAAGCTAGGAAGGGGATCAGTACCAGTTAAGAGGGGATGAAGGATGAGGTGGGTTGATTAGACTCAAAAGAAATCAGACCACTTGGACCCCAGTGAGCTCAGAAATACAAGAAAAAGAGAAAAGATAGAAGAGCAGGGTAACTCAGGAAGTGCTTGTTTTTTTTAAAGATAAGGAAACTGGAACAGTGAGGTTTGTGGGGTTTGTTGGAGGTAATGAGTGCACTTTAAGCATGTTGAGTATGTGAGTTATCCCTGGGACATCCATTGAAGAGGATTGTAGGCAGAAGGATTGTCTATGCGTCAGGAAACAAACTTGGGGAAAACTAGACATGAGGGCCATGGATGCTCAATTGGTAGAGTGCTTTGCTAGAATGTATGTTGCCAGTCTCTGGGTTTGAATCCCAGCAATGCATAAACCTGGATGTGGTGACTCGCTCCAGTAATCTCAGCACTTAGGAGGCAGAGGTAGGAGATCTTGAAGTTGAAGGTCATCCTAGGTTACATAGTGAGTTTGAGGCCAGCCTTGGATACATGAGACCTTGTCACAAAAATAAATGAATGAACAAATAAATGAGAAACTGAATCCTTTGCTCCACAAAAACCCTCATGTGTGAGAGCCTTCTTACACAAATAGAATTTGAAGCTATTAAAGTGGTAGAAATTTCTCGAAGGAGAGACTGTGGGGTAGGAGAAAAGAGGCTGAAAGTGAAGTCCTAGGCACAGCACCAGTGACAGAAGGGTGCTCAGAGGGACAGAGTGAAGGCAGAGGGACAGACTGACCGCAGAGATAGAAGAACAAACATCAGAAAAACCAAGGTGGGAAAGCATGTGAAATCACTTCGTAGCTAGGAACCAATAAGGCCTGGATGTATGCTTTCACAGCTCTTCAATGTCCTCAAGGGAAGGCAGAGGGAACTTTAGAGTGGTGGGCTCAGTGGAGGGATGGAAGCTGTGTTTATGAGACATGCATGCAAATGAGAGGTAAAGATACAGACAGCAGAGCTGGCCCCGGAGGAGAGATGGGAAGGCAGAGGGATTGCCAGAGGGGGCCATAAGTGCCACAGTGTAAGGGTGACTGAACATGCCTAAGAGCTGACGTGAGAACTCAGTGGGAAAGGGGTGGGGGATGTCGTCTCTGGGAGGAGGGGTTAGCGAGTCCTGAGTTTGGCAGAAGGGCCAGCCACTGTGTTGGAGGAAAGGGGAAGGTTGGCTCAGGATCTTGTTTCACACACTGTTGTGATAGCATGGAGGAGTTTATTCCTGGTGGTTCCACTTCTCAAAGGTTGATGGGGAGCTGGTCTCCTGAGGTAGAAAGAAAGAGGACAGACATGAGAAGCTGCCGAACACATTGAACTTGAGACATGTCTAATGGAAGCCCGGTTCTCATGACTCAGTGACTGAAAGAGTGAATGCATACACTAACCCTAATTTGGATCATTTGGGAATATCTAGTCAGTAATTGTGAGAGGTTTTTGTTTTGTTGAGACAGGATTTTTCTGTGTAGCTCTGGCTGTCCTGCAACTTGCTTTGTAGACTAGGTTGGCCACAAACTCACAGAGATCCACCTGTCTTTGCCTTCCAAGTAAAGGGATTAAAGGTGTGTGCCATCACCACCTGGATAAGAAGCAAAATTTTTATCAAGAAAGTCAAAGAGGCAATGCTTTTTAGCCTATCCTATCAGAGACGCTGAGCTAGCTCGCTAGACCTGTGCAGATTCAATGGGGAAGCCACGAACTAACTCATTGTATCTCTTCAAGTCTCATTGTGGCTACTTCAAATTGAAAAATGATATCTGGCTAACATACATGCTAGATTTCAAAGACTCAGTACAAAAATAAATATTAAAAAACCCTCATTTAAAATATATACTGTAGGTTAATATTTTTAATTTATAGGGTTGAATTAAAGATTATTAAAACTAATTTCACTTGCTTTATTTACTTATTTACTTACGTTTTCATTTCTTTTGTGTAATGCTTGGTACTAAATACAGCATCTTTTTTGTTTGTTTGTTTTGAGACAGGATTTCTCTGTGTAGCCTTGGCTGTCTTGGAACTCTCTCTGTAAATGAGGCTGGTCTTGAACTCAAAGATCCACCTGCCTCTACCTCCCAGGTGCTGGGATTAAAGGTGTGCATCACTACCACCCAGATAAATATAGGTCTTATTCATACTAGACAACTGATCTATTACTGAGCTATATCCAAGCCCACATGTTTACTTTTGATATTACTTTTGTTTTCTGTACTGAGGATTGAATCTAAAGCCTCATACATGCTAGGCAAACACTTTACCACCAAGTTACACCCTCAAGTCTCTAGGATACATTTTTTTTCTTTTTCTTTTATTTTATGTGTATGGGTGCCATAGCTGTGTACCATATGCCTGATGCCTTCAGAGGCCAGAAGAGGGATATTATAAATTACTGTGAGCTGGGAATTGAACCCTTATCCTCTGGAAGAGCAGTCAACGCTCTTAACTGCTGACTCATCTCTCTGGTTCCCTCTAATATAAGTTAAAAAATTACTATTATTGCTATTTTATGTTCATGGATGTTTTATTTCCATGTATGTATGTGCATTTTATGTGTCAGGTGACCACAGAGGCTGGAAGAGGGCATTTGATCCCCTGGAACTGGAGTTATAGTCAGTTGTGAGCTGCCATATAGATGGCATGTCCTCTGGATGAGCAGGCAATGCTCTTAACTACTGCCCTGTCTCTTCAGATCCCTACAAAAACATTTAAACCACACACGTGATTCACATTATTTGTTGGATTGGGCAGCACTCTCCAGGCTTTAGTCAGTAACTTCTGCACTCCTGAAGGTAACTGGAAGAAGTATAGCAAAAAAGTTATAGGCAATTGACTTCCACATGTACCAAGTTGAATTCTTCAAAGTATAGCAAAACCTATTTCTTCCCCTTTTAGACAGTATATGCACCTTGAAGCTATGCTAATGAAGAAGGCATGTGCTCCTCTAACTGCCATTGTTGTTATCATAGCTGAGACAAATTGCAAGGCTCATCCCTCAGATTAGTTCTGAGAAGTTGAAGCTGAACACAGACAATGCTGCTTGTAGTTTTCCTTTGGGTGAGGAATTGTGGTTCATAGGTGTCATTAACTGTGTAGGACTATTGGTTGCCTTCCTCCTTGGACGCTTGCATGGTGCCTTGTGGTACCATGGAAACTAGTCTTTGGAGAGGAGGCTTTCAGGTCAGATCCAGCTCAGGTCCTCCAGGTTCTGTGTCTGAAGTGCATGGTGTCATCAGCAATAGAGATTTATTTTCCATGTCTGGGGAAAACAGACAGCAACAGGGCAACAGCAACAGCCCGTAACATTTTGGGAGTCTCTTGAATAAAACTGACCAATTGTAATTATAAACCAGGAAACAAAGAGGGAAACTTAGCTTCCCTGACTCCAAGGAAAGCTTCTGAAAGTGTGTGTTGGCAATTAGCTGGCCATACCTGTGTCCTCAGTTGTGTCCTGAGCAGCCCTGGTGAGGCTGGCTCTTTCAACAGAAGGTTTCTATGTCAAATTTTTGTTTGTTTGTTTAGATTTGTTATGTACACAGTGTTCTAACTGCATGTGTCCCTGCACAGCAGAAGAGGGCACCAGATTTCATTACGGATAGTTATGAGCTACCATGTGGTTGCTGGGAATGGAACTCAGGACCTCTGGAAGAACAACCAGTACTTTTAACCTCTCAGCCATCTCTCCAGCTCCCAAAGCTTCCTATCTCAAAACAACTTGATGAGTGTCTAACAGCTTTGCCTCAGCCCTGTGAAGCAGACTTCTGGAAGAAAGGTCTGGACGTCTGAACTTTTAAGACATTTTCAAAGTAGATGGGAGAACCATTGCTTTGCAAAGAGCATTGTCATTGATTTATGGTCTTATTTGGAACTTGGACATGCAGATAGATCTTGGAGAAGGTGGAGAGTTTACTTAAGCCATGTTGAAGGAGTCGGCTTGACCTTGGGGTTCCTTAGGTAATACTAGTGGTTGCATGCTGACTTGGGCTTCCTAGCCTTCAGATTGCCAGAGTTGTATCTCAGGTAAAGGGGTGAGTGTTGCTGCTGCTGCTGCTGCTGCAAGCAGATAATGAGGGGGAAATCTCAGGAAGGTCACATCACTGACTCTTTCTTTCTTCCTCTTAGCCCTTCAGTGTTATGATGTATCCAGCTGGTCCAGGATCTGGTGACTCCCCGGAAGGCTTCCCTGAACAGCCAAGGATCCAGCCACAAATTGGAAATGGCACAGCTCAGACATTGGGTACTGAAACTGGGTGTGCAGTGTGGTCCTTCCTTCCTTAGATCACGGCTGAGGCAGAAGACTGAGGATAATGGATGGGGGAAGAGAAATTCAAAGAGGTCTTTGGTTAGCACGGACTTGACGGAAGCACTGGCATTCATTTAAGTGACAAACTCTTCATCCAATCATTAGTCCCTTCTATGTGACTGCTGCTTTATAATTTACTTTGAGACAAGGTCTTTGTAGCTCTGGCTAAGCTGGAACTCAAGAGAGCCACCTGCCTCTGTCTCCAGAGCGGCCTACCATGCCCAGCTTTAGTTTCCTATTGCTGTGATAAACATCATGACCAAGTCAATTTCCAGAAGGAAGGGTTCATTTGAAGCTTACAGTTCCAGACAGACAGAGCCCACGAGGTCAGAGCAGAGGCCTCAGGCAGCAGGCATGTGGTAGAATGGGAGCTGAGGGCTCACATCTCAAGCTGCAAAAGCAGCAAAGAGAACAAACTGTCAGTCTTTAAAGACCCCAGAGGCCAGCCTCCAGTGACGCCATACTTCCTCCAGCAAGGCCATACATCCTAATCCTCCCCCAAATAGCCACCAACTAGAGACCAAGTATTCAAATGCTGGAGGCCGATAGGGACCATCTTATTCAAACTAGTTGGTAACACTGACCAAGTATTAGGCCCAATAAGATACAGGATGAACACACCGCCAGCCAGACTTGGTCCCTGGTATTGAGGAGCACCTCCTTCCATTCCAATGGGCCACATCATCTTTACCTCATGATAAACACACTAGCCAGCATTCAGTTTTGGTGCCTGATCTTGTAGAGCCCTCCCTCCCCCGCTTTCTTCTTTCCCAATGGGACACACTTTTCCTCCATAACCCTTTTGGAACTGGTGGAGGAAGTAAAAATCTTACGTGTTCAAAGCATGGGAAGACTCCATTTGTGACCTAGAATCTGAGCTGGGGAACAGTGAAGGCAGGGAGAGGTGTGGGAATGAAGAACTTGCTCCCTGTCCTCTTGGCATAGAAGGGCTAGTTACAGAAGTTATGGTCAGAAGTCTTGGTGAAAAGTGCAGGCCTTCCTATTACAGATGAGGGAAGGGTCAAAAAGGGCATATGCTGTTCCCCGCCTAGTTAGTGGCAGAAGTGAGACTAAAACAGTGGGCTCTTAAAGAAATTTTAGAGCCTCCAACGAGCCCCTTAGTTTTATTATTCATATTTATTTAAATGAACTTTTAAAGTTAGCATACAGACTGAGGGGTTTCACTCTTGGCTGCTCCGTTGCCAAGGAAGCCGGGGCCTTCTAAGGCAGCCCCTCCCTTCGCAACATCCTTCCCTTTACTTCCAATAAAGTTGTTGTTGAAGCGCTGACCTGGGGCGGGGCCTGGGCGGTGTGGAGGAGGAGCCTGGGCGGCTCGAGGCGGAGCCTGGGCAGCGTGGGGGCGGAGCCAGGGCGGCGCGGGGCGGGGCCGAACAGAGGGAGACCGGTGTGCGGCGGTGTGGAGGGGCGGCGGCGCGGGCAGGCGGCCGGCCATGATCGCGTCGTGCCTCTGCTACCTGCTGCTGTCGGCCGCGCGCCTCTTCCGCTCTCTCTCAGGTACCGGCCTCACGTCCTGATGGACGGGAGCCGGGGCTGCGCCCTGTGGGGGCCCACCGGTCCTGGGGTGGAGCGCCGGGCCTCACGACCGCGGGCCTCCGCTGGTGGCAAGGCGTGGGTGAGGTGGCTCCCGACCCCGGGCCGCGGGCCATCCTGGCCCCACGAGGCTCGGGCTGGCCGGCCACTCTCGTGGGCAGCCCCTCCTCACGCCGTGGTCTGGTGACGTCGGGCCACGGTTAACGTGGACCCAGGCCTGGGGAAGGGGCGCCCTCCTTGGCTGTGGCGGTGGTCCTGGGGCAGGCTGAGACACTCCCGGAGGTCGGGAGCGGTGGCAACCCCGGACTTCTCGGCGGGTAGAATCGGGGAGAGGTGTGCCCTTTGGCGGGTGGGCTTCTCTCTCCGGCCTGTCATCTGCTGTCCTCTCTCAGTTCAAGTGTAGTTGGAAAAACAAAACAAAACAACATATGTTCAGAAGCCAGACGCGTTTAAACCTCGCCTTTGGAGCGAGGGTTTAGAGAGAGAGATGTGATAGGTTGAATGGATGCCTTGGTGAGGGGGTGGTTGTTACTTGTGCATAATCTGCCTTCTCTCTGCTTTTGAAATCCAGGCTTTCATGCAACCCCAGTTTTTCTTTGAGGTCCTTAAGAACTCCCAGGCTTTTCTCCTGTAGCTTAGGGGGGCAGTATCAAGATGGGTTTTCTTAGAAATAAGAGGCCCAACTGCATTCTGTGTTTTTGCTTTGTGGAACTGTGCTATGTGGGCAATGGATAGTATATTTTTCTATCAAATATTAAATTGTTTTTTAAAAAAACATTGTCTCCACTAGACTGCCAGCTTCAACAGAGCAGGGCCTTGTCCATTTGTTCACTATATCTCATGGGTTTCCAGAGGAATCAGGAAGGCCTCGGATGTCCATACTGTCAGGAATGGGAAGGCCTATGGAAGTCACTCACTGTTTGTGGAGAACCCAGGAAATTCTTTTAATTATATGGCTATCTAGTGTCTACATATGAGATACAATAGTCTTGATATTAGCCCACAAGTTGGCCAGTCAGTACAATTCTAGGGATTTTAGAGGAGCCTTCCATCCACACATTATAAAGTGACAGGTATATTAATTTTGTAGTATTTTTATAAGATTTAAGAAACATTCTCCTCTTGAAAAACAATCACCAGCCAGGCAGTGGTGGCACATGCCTTTAATTCCAGCACTTGGGAGGCAGAGGCAGGGAGAGCTCTGTGAGTTAGAGGTCAGTCTGGTCTACAGAGTCAGTTTCAGGACTGTTTCACAGAGAAACCCTGCCTCAAAAAGCAAAAATAAAACAAACAAAACAAAAAAGAAAAGGAAAACAATCACCACCAATACTGTCTCTAAATTAAAGTGGGGTGTTATGCCCATCAACCAAAGCTGCTCTGGCATGTGAAATGTATGTATGTATGTATGTATGTATGTATGTATGTATGTATGTTTCAAGGGACAGATATTTAGCAAGTTCCTAACTGAATCCCAGCAGCAACCAGCCAGTGGCTCAAGAAGTGTTTTTGACATTTATTGTGTTGTAGGATGCTTGGTGGCACTACTGACCCCTGACCAAAAGCACTGTCACAGTTGTGGCTCTGGAGGTTGCTGTTCCCCATGGGCAAAATCTGCCTCTTTAACCTAGTTTAAAAATACTGATTTAGGTATTTATTTATTGATTGGTGTTTTTGAGACAGGGTTTGTTTTTTTTTCCTGTGAAATAGCCTTGGCTGTCCAGGAACTCACTACAGAACTACAGAACTTACTCTGTAGACCAAAATTCCGTGTGTGCTCACAAAATGTGGGTGTGTGTGGGTGGGTGTGGTGGGGTTTGCCATGGCATTTGTAGAAGTCAGAGCTTTGTGGCCTTTCCTTGCTGAGCCCAGATTGAACACTTATTTAGAAAGACATATATTCATATAGTTCACATGGACATTTGAATTTTCATTGAGTTTTTTTTTTCATCCCCTGTCAATAAAATGAATGTCTAATGATCATGGGCATCATCGTGTGCCCAGATTTGTTCTGAGATGTAAATAAGTGCTCTGGTGTGTACTTTGAAGCTCCAACTTTAGAGTTCCCTGTCTGTTCTATTGCCTGCTGGCTGTCATTCATGGCTGCTACAGCAGAGATGACAGCAGGTTTTAACCGTCAGTTGCTGGTGCCCCTAATTTACAGTCTCTGGTGTGTTATGAAGTGAGAAAACAGATGATGAGGTTTGTGAAAATGTTATGGGTGGGTTAAATATCACTGGAAAGAAGCCCGGGGTTCTGTTAAAAAGTAAGTTGATTTTTAAGGTTGTTCACATTATTATTATTATCATTATTATTGTGCTTTCATAGATTAGGGAGTCTCTAGAGCTTGAAAACTCTCGGGGGGGGGGGTTACCTGGTTTGAACAATGCTGGTTCTCATCAGGTTGAGTAAGCCCTTCTGAAGGAGCACTGTTTAGGGTCAGTTTTGTTAATTTTGTTAGAAGGCAATGATTCAGTATTATTTCCTGGTCATGTATTAGTTCTAATGTAATGTGGTTTTCAGGACCCAAAAGTTAAAAGTAATGTTTACAGGAGAATGGCTCAGTGGTTAAGAGTACTGGCTATTTTTCTAAGGAACCTATGTTTGACTGATTCCAGCTCCCACATGGTGGCTTACCACAATCTAACTTCAGTCCCAGGGGATCCTACACCCTTATCTGACCCCTGTAGGTACCAGGACTCAACGTGATACACAGACATACATGTAGTCAGAACACCACACACATAATGAAATTAAAAATTGAACAGTAGTGTTTATTTACCTCCAGGAAAAGAGGCGAGGTTATGTGTGCCTATCTGTGTTCTAGGTTACCCCCTAGGATTTAGCCATTCTTTCATTCTTGCATTGAAATTTACTGGGTCCCTGGCATGCAAATTGCTTAATTCTTGTAAGCAGTTAAAACAGTATCTGGCACATAGAAAGCACTGCTAAGGTGATGTTCCAGGTATTAAGTTGGGAAACCTGTGACGGTACAGTATGAGCACGGTGGATGTGATCATCGCTCATGTGGGGCTTCTATTCTAGCTGGGGAAATCTGTGGAGTGAGTGGTGCTGTCTTCTAACAAGTTGGTATTTTGGCTTCCTTTCTAGATGCTTTCTTTACATGTCGAAAAAATGCCCTTTTGGCGAAGAGCTCGTCCCCCCAGGTAGAGGGTAACTTTGCCATGGCCCCTCGGGGGCCTGAGCAAGAGGAGTGTGAGGGCCTGCTGCAGCAGTGGCGAGAAGAAGGGTGGAACCAGGCACTCTCAACTGCAAGTGAGGGTCCTCTTGCCGATAAGGGACTAGCTGAGAGCAGCCTGGCACTCCTGATGGATAATTCTGGAGAACAGGATGCTGCCTCAGAGGACAAGTGGTCCAGCAGGCAGCTGAGTGACCTGCGGGCAGCAGAGAACCTGGACCAGCCTTTTCCTGAGGTGCTAGGGGAGGATCCACTGGCTGAGGTGGAGGGCCCTTTGTGGGCAGCTGTCCCTGTGCACACAGGGCCCCAGTATGCAGACTGTGCTGTCCTCCCAATGGGTGCAATGGCTGCAGAGCAATGGGAAGAGGACCCTGCAATGGTGGCCTGGAGCATAGCACCAGAGCCTATGTCCCAGGAAGAGACTTCTATGTGGCCCTTTGAAGGCTTGGAGCAGCTGCAGCCTCCCCCGATGGAAATACCTTATCATGGTGAGTCTGGTAGCTAGCATAGTGAGCCATGGTGTAGGTTGTTTGGAAAAGATCTTGTAGTGGGGAGTTCTGCTGCTACATTTAGTTTTTCTGAGACTCTTGCAGGGTCAGATATCAGGGATACAGTGATAGACAGGACGAGATTAACTCGGACTCTGAGGAACTTACTATCAGCTCTGAAAAATGCCCTTAGAGGCATGGGTGGTGGGTGACTTTGGGTAGTAGTGGCTTGGCCTCTGGATAACCTGCATGTGTTCTGGAACTCTTCTCTTGACCCCCTTGCAGAAATCCTGTGGCGAGAATGGGAGGATTTCTCCACACAGCCAGATGCGCAGGGTCTGGAGGCAGGGGATGGCCCTCAGTTCCAGTTCACTCTGATGTCGTATAACATCTTGGCCCAGGACCTGATGCAGCAGAGCTCAGAGCTCTATCTGCATTGCCATCCAGATATCCTCAACTGGAATTATCGCTTTGCCAACCTCATGCAGGAATTCCAGCACTGGGACCCTGATGTGAGTGAAGAGGGAGACGCTCCATCTTGAATAGGTGCAGGACCCGGACCAGTCTGTTTTCTGACTCTCAGGGAGAAATGAGTTCCTACTTCATAGCTATTCAGATGATGACAGTTGTGCTACACAAGCTAAGATTATCTTTGGCTGTATGGATGACAGACAGGTTTGAGCCTGCTTGCCCTAGAGAGTCAAGCATTTTGGGCAGATGCTACGATGATTCTCTGGTGTATACTTTATAGCACCCCTATACAGGGATTCACAGGGTGGGGAAGTCTACACACCTCTTCATGCTGGTGGTGGCTCTCTGTCTGGGATGTCAGCCCTGTGGGAAGTTCCACTACGGACCTCAATCTGGTCTGGGGGCCTGCTCCTAGGGAGTAGGAGTCATATCACTTCTGATTCTCTGGAGTGATTGATTCCCTTGTCAATTTCCCAGATCCTGTGTCTTCAGGAAGTCCAGGAAGACCATTACTGGGAGCAGCTGGAGCCCTCTCTGCGGATGATGGGTACTGCCGCTCCCCAGCTTGTGTGCCAGCCTTTCCTCCTCCAGCCCTGCAGACTCTCTCCTGAAGAGTCCTCCTCTCTGTGGCTTAGTAAACCGGCAGCCTTTCCCGTGGGCTAGTTCTTTTCATATGTGGGTGAGAAAGTGGAGCTCTAGTTTTTTAAAATCTGTGGAGTAAACAACTCTACGAACTCCATGAGGCTATATGCTACTAATTCCATTTTACAAATGAGAAGCAGGTTCCAAAAATTGGTGTGACTTGCTTACAATCCCCAAACTACAAAGCTAGTAGGTTGTAGGGCCAGGACTCCCACTTGTCTAACTCTAGATTCAAGGCACTAGGGACTGGTGAAGCCACATTGCTGGTAACCCACTGGGTCACAGGACCTTCATTTGGAGCCAGTTTTGCCTCTGATGACAAGCCTCTGGTCTTTCTGTCATGTATTGCTTGTACCCTTCTCTCCCTTTCTAGTCCCTCAGGCTTCTGGTTACAGCTGTAAGGGAATGTCTGCAGCACCTCAGAGGTGGCAAGGGCTCAGTGTTATGGGGCTCCAGGATCAGTGCCTTAGGCCCGGACCTGTTGTGCTTCTGCAGTGATTGGAAGGGATTCAGGATCCAGTGAGTCTGACCCATTTCTGTGGTGGTGTTTCCTTACAGGCTTCACCTGTTTTTACAAGAGGAGGACTGGGTGTAAAACGGATGGCTGTGCTGTGTGCTACAAGCCCACCAGGTTCCGCCTGCTCTGTGCCAGCCCCGTGGAGTACTTCCGGCCTGGGTTGGAGCTCCTCAATCGGGACAATGTAGGCTTAGTGTTGCTGTTGCAGCCGCTAGTCCCAGAAGGTCTGGGGCAAGTCTCAGTGGCTCCCCTATGTGTGGCAAATACCCATGTTCTCTACAACCCACGTCGGGGTGATGTCAAGCTAGCCCAGATGGCCATACTTCTGGCTGAAGTGGACAAGGTGGCCAGGTTGTCAGATGGCAGCCACTGCCCTATCATCTTGTGTGGGGACCTGAATTCTGTCCCTGATTCACCTCTCTACAACTTTATCAGGGATGGAGAGCTCCAGTACAATGGGATGCCAGCCTGGAAGGTGAAATGGGGCAACCGCTGGGGGTGGGGACATGGGTGAGGGAGAGAGCTGGGTGTTGGCATCAACTATGGCAATGGACTGTTTGGCTCCTGCCTCCTGTTGCTGCTAATGTTGAATAACTGTGTCTGCTCTTGGAGACTAGCAGCACATAATTGCCCCTGGCACATTGAACATCCTCCCATTTTTTTATCATTTAATTTGCAAGTGATTCTTATAAATTATTTAAGAATTAAAACATAAAACAAGAGAAAATACCCCTTTATTGCTCAAACTCCCTGCCACACATGTGGAGGGAAGTCATGGCTCTTCTAAGTGTAGCAGCATGCTCTCCTTTTCTGAGCAATCACTATAGTAATGCTCCTAAAATAGTATCACAGTTTACATTTGCTAAGCTCTTAACTGTGCATCACGTACGATTTTGAGCACTTTACATGTATTGACTCTTTAATTTTCACTGTTTCTATCATTGTTTCCATTTTAATAAATGCAGAAACTAAGGCATAGAGATGGTAAATAATTTTGTTTAGGTCATGCAGTTAGTGGAAGGCTCAAGAATTATGACCAGGTGGTCTGGCCTTTGCTATTATGCTGTGATGACCATAACAGGTGATATATAAGTCTACCATTTTTGTTTTATAACCACTGCACAGTGCTGTTTTTTGTTTTGTTTTTTTTTTCTTTTGGTCAATAATTTGCATTTGAATCTAATTTCCTGTAGCCATAGCTGCCAAATATTGGTAGCATAGATAGCTTATAGTTTTATCAGCTCTATCTGACTTTATTATACATTACTTAATCTCTTTTCTCCTGTTTTGTCTCTTCTTGTTCAGCTTATTGCTTAGTTTTTGGCAAAGCCTAATGGAGAAGGGACACAAAATGACTGAACTATTATTGCGTCTTGGGCTTTTATTTGAATGAGGTTACTTGAGTGCTGACAATGTCCTGGTTGCCTAGAGCAGGGCATTAGCTTGCTCTAAAGGAGCCCTCTTCAAGGAGTTCAGGGGCAGGAGAATTTGCTGAGTGCCTTCCAAATGGCAGGCACTGTTATGCATGGGCTGTGAGAGCACTTGTTTTGAAACCAGACAGCCTTGAATTCAAATCCCTGTTCTCCCACCCTGGGCAAGTTAGGGAACTTTTTCAAGCCCCCTTTGCTGCTTCTGCACACTGAGGATCTAATGGGACCGACAGGAGGTATACTTTATGAGAAGATGAAATGATGCATGTAAAGTTTTCAGTGCCTCATTCAGAGAGAGCAGTCAGTAATTAGTAGTGGTTATTATTAGTGTAAGATTATTATATTATGGTAGTAGTGTCCCATTTCCTAGTAAGGGATATTAACTTAAAGATATCAAGTAACTTGTCTAAAGTCACAGCCATTAAGTGGTCATTCAGTTCCAAGTCTCTTTTTTTCTCCAGATTATAGATCATGTTTATGCCCTTTCAGGGCAGAGGGATTGTGTCTGTTACTAGTCTGTCATTCAAATATAAGTAGTTAAATGAAATAAAGGGAATTTTGCTGTCCACATTGGATGCGGATGACTGATATTGCTGAATGTTTCCCCTATACGCTCTGTCCGTTCCCAGGCTGCTCATGACTTTGACTGAGGATGGTGACATAGATACGGTAAAGTCCTTGGTGCATTTCCCATTTGCTTTTACCCTGTGGTTTCCCAGTGATAGACTCAAGGAATTGACTTTGATCTAGTAAATGCAAAGTTGAAGAGGACAGGATAAACCTGTATCCATTACACATTAAAATCTGTCGAGAGAGTTGGTCTCCTTGGTGGAGGATGGCGTAGATTTTTCCGAGGTGAACCTTAGGACCACATGCTCATACAGTTCTGTTTTCCTTACTTATTCTTCACTCTCTTCCCATTCTTTCCTAGCTCATGGACATCTAAGTGTTTTTAGTGAGGATGTAATGTTATAATTAGTTCCTTATTGTTGCCTTCTCCTGAGATTTACATGGCTTGCTCATTTCATGTGTTCACCATCTTGATTGTGTGTGTTTGTATTTGTTCAGATGCCCCCAGACATGAATCATTTCCTTTTACTGTCCTGGCCTCCTCATAGCCACCTTGCTCTTTGTTGTAGGTTTCTGGACAGGAAGACTTCTCTCATCAGCTTTACCAGAGAAAGCTACAGGCCCCACTGTGGCCCAGTTCCCTGGGCATCACTGATTGCTGTCAGTATGTCACCTCCTGTCACCCCAAAAGAGCAGGTAAATATGTGTTCTTTTGTTTGCTTGTTTGAAGTGTTGTTTGTTTGTTTGCCCATGATTTCTATATCCACCTTATGTGTGCCTGGTGCCTCAGATCCCTTGGTACTAGAGCTAACAGATGATTACGAGCTGTCAAGTGGGTGCAAGGAACAAAACATGTGCTTTTAATGACCATGTCATCTCTTCAGCCCCCACACATCACATTCTTCTTTTTGTTTTTGTTTTTGTTTTTGTTTTTTTCAAGACAGGGTCTCTCTATATAGACCTGCCTGTCCACTTTGTACACCAGGCTGGCTTCCAACTCAGAGATGCACCTGCCTCTGCCTCCCCAGTGCTGGGTTTCAAGGCATGGCACATATATTACATTTGTGATTTTCTGTGTCTCCATGTTCATATGGTGTGAGAGCTTTCGCTCAATAACAAGAGATGGTGTAATCCCCTGAAGTTTATTAGCAAGTTTCCCTGGTTTCCTCATTGTCCTTCATATGCCACTAAATGAAATGAACAAATTTCAGTTGCAGCTGTTGGAAGAAATCTCCCTGTCCTCAGAGTCAGATTTCCTTTGTGTTGTTATGCCAGAAGGTTCCTGATGCTTAGGAGGTCTCAGTATGTGACTCGTAGCCCTTCTTTTACCATATGGCATTTCCTGGTTTGTAGAGAGACGAAAGTATGGCCGAGACTTCTTACTACGATTCCGCTTCTGCAACATCGCCTGTCAGCGGCCAGTAGGACTGGTTCTCATGGAAGGAGTGACAGACACTAAGCCAGGTAACAGGAAGCCTGCTTTCTTGACTCTCACCTTTCTTCGCCCCTGACATTTATAAGTTCTTGTTTTCTAGTCTTCTCTCTTTCTCTAAATCTTTCTTTATTCTCTTTGTATGTGTATATATGTATACCATGTGCATGCAGATGCCTGCAGAGGACAGAATAGAGCATCAGCTCTCTTGGAGCTGGAGTTACAGCTGTGAGCTTTCTAATGTGGGTGCTGGGAACTGAACCTGTGTCCTCTTTAAGAGCAGCAAGTGCTTTTAACTGCTGAGCTATCTTTCTAGTCCATTCCTCATCTCTCCTAAATCTAATTCCTGATCAGCTTCTGATAATGAGTTTAGGAGCTGGAAGGTGAGTTGAGTGTATGCATTGGATGTATATTTTGATAAGAGCCCTGAGTTCTTGCCAGCTCTGAGACTGAGTAAAGCCAAGTAACCTTTTTAGGCTTAGTTGCTGATTATATAGCATGTGTTTAGTATTTATAGGGGAGAAAATGCATAGATTACAGGGCTTTGAGTATTGAGAGGTGACAGTGGGCCTGATCACAAGAAAAAAACGTGCTCCGATGGAGAACTTCCAGTTTGGATATGACAGTTTTTTTTGATAGCTTCACTTTCTTGTCTCTGAAACCACTTTAAAGTAATAAAAAAAAAAAAAAGAAGCTAAAGGCAAACTCCATCCTCAGGGACTCTGTAATGGCTACAAGGAGAAATAGGCTGGGGTGCCCGAGGCAATATGGAGTCTTACTGGGACCCTATAGAACTCAGATGGAACCACACTGCATTTCCCCAAGGTGAGGCATGCCTTTGGAGGACAAACCCAAATCTTGCTTTTTCAACAAGAATATCATGCGTACAGCATGCTAGAAAAGTCTGTAGGCTGTTTGCTCCCTAATTGCACTGTGAGGAGGATTATCCAGGGAACCAGGCCACATTCAGGAAGCAGTCTGGGTGCCTAAGGGGAGATGCTGATTCTTCCAGAGCTGCATAGCCTTCTGGCTCCAGAGAAGAGGAGAAGGTTCTGCACACAATCCAGTGTTAAAAGTAGATTTCTTCTTACTTAGACCACATGGTCAGTGTCTCCTTTATGTAAGCCTCATATAAAGAGCTGGTATAGAATAACATAGATAACTCAAAGTAGTACTATGGAATCTCTACTAAGATATATGAAGAAAGGAATAACAGAAAACTTAAGGCTGGTATTAGATGCTGTAGAAAAAAAAGATAAATAGAACAGTGCTTCAAAGATAAACATTGGAACATATGGAAATTATGATTATCTCTCCATAAATGAAAAGATGAGATGATCTGTAGCTGAGGAGCTATTGGCAGTTGATGGCTTCTGGGAGAGTTTGTTTTCTTTAGGGATGTGACCCCTGTGAGATTGCCTGTGATCCAGTAACTGGCCCTACACTCATGCTCAATGCACATAGTGGTAGCACTAAGTGGACTCTAAAACACACACACACACACACACACACACACACACACCTGGGAGGGACTAGTGATGGGGATATAAGGGGTGTTGGAAGAGAGGGGAAGCTGGAAGGGTTTGATCAAGACACATACATCTTCATGAAAGAATGCAAAAAAAAAAAAAAAAAACCCAAACCAAAACACATAATGACATCAGAAGATGAAAACTAAATTGTAGAATTCAAGAGTAGAAGTAGAAAGCTGGGGTAGAGCATTTCCTTAGCATATGGCCTTGGAATAGATGATATAGATGTCTCACTTAGGGCCAGCAGCTTAGCTCAGAATTTTAAGATTACAAAATCTCAAAGTAAAACAACAGTCTCACATGGATAACTTTATATTAAGGATAGATTATTCTGTCAGGTAGTGGTGGCACACACCTTTAATCCCTGCACTCAGGATGCAGAGGCAGGTGGATCTCTATGAATTTGAGGCCATTCTGGTCTTCAGAGTGAGTTCTAGGACATCCAGGGCTGTTACACAGAGCCACCCTGTCTTGAAAAGTCATTAAAAAAGAATAGATTATTTTTAAAAATGAATGTGCACTCGAATGAAACATAAAATAGCACTGAAATGTAATAGCAAACAAAATTAGGCCAAGACCGTTAACCTACACACTGATAATAACTTTATAAGTAGAAAAGAATTGTTTTACTGGGCATGGTGGTGCTGAGGAGACTGAGGGGGAAGAGATGAAGGCCATTCAGCCTAAGCTGCATAACAAGATCTTGTATCAAAAAAAAGTTTTATAATGGGAATGATCGAATAATAATACAAAATAATGGTAGTGTTTTCACCTTTGAGGGTGAATCTGGGTAAGCACACATGCTTACTACATCCTTGATTGCTCCTTATCCAGGGCTGACCAGACTGCTGTTGAAAAGCTTGCATCACTGTAGACCAGAAATGAAGATTATGCTAAGTGCAAATGGTTTTCTAGAGGGTCTATTTAAATATATGAACAGATACAACTTTGATTTAATACCAGAGTTACCCAGTTAACTATATATCAAAATATGTCTGTGACACTAACTTTAATGGTGACCACCTAGTGCAAAGGGCGATGCAGTACTAGACAGCGGTGGTCCGATTCCCAGAACTATCGTAGTTTTATGTCACCCACACGGTGTGGTGTGAAACAGAGATTCCTTCCTATCTTCCCTACTTCCTTTATGAATGAATGATCATTTTTCTAGACTGATTTTTTTTTATGTGTGTGTGTGTTTTGCCTGCTATATGTCTGTGCACCAATTGCATTCAGGGCCTTTAGAGGCCAGAAGAGGGTGCCAGATCCCCTGGAAAGGGAGTTACAGAGCTGCCTGCCATATGGATACAAGGAACCAAACCTGGGTCCTCTGCAAGACCAACAAGTGCTCTTGACTGCTGAGCCATCTCTCCAGCCTCCATAATGATTTTTTGTTTGTTTGCTTGGTTTTTATTTTATTTTTTGAGACAGAGCTTCTCTATGTAGTCCTGGCTGCCCTGGAACTCACTCTGTAGACCAGGCTGACCTCAAACTCAGAGATCCTCTTGCCTCTGCCTCCCAAGTACTGAGACTAAAGGCATGCATTACCATTATCTGGCCCATAATGATTGATTTTTTAAAAAGAAATTTAATTCAATTAAGTTTATTTTGTTTGTTTTATATATGAGTGTATTATCTACATGTATGTCTGCAGACCAGAAGAGAGTATTAGATCCCACTATAGATAGATGGTTGTGAGCCACTATGTGGTTGCTGGAAATTGAACTCAGGACCTTTGGAGGAGCAGCTAGTGCTCTTAACCACTGTTCTTTGATTCATGGGAAGAATCTTAAACTGCTATTAGTCGCTGGCATGGTTCAGTTTAATGCATTCGTTGGTGCATGGCATTGGCGGCTGACCCCTTGGCTCCCTGAGAGCCTGCCTTTATGGCAGGGGACTGCTCCAGCTCTGGTTTCACACTGCCACCTAGTAGTGTGCCACAGGCGCTGCTCATTAACCCCATTTGGTTTATGTTTGGTATTAGGGGCTATTAAAAGAGCCATGCTCATGTTTGTTGCTAGTACAGAGCCAGGAAGCCACCTCTTAAAGGAGCCATGCCTCTGTTTGCCACTAGCATTGAGCCTACCTGAGAAAAGGCAGTTATCAGAAAGCCACATCTGGCTCAGTTTTTGTATGCTTACAATCTTTTTTTTTTTTTTTTTTTCCCAGCCCTATGTTGGGTATCATTTGTAGTTGAACTTTTCTGTTCCGCAGGCCAGTTCCCAAATAAGTACACTGAGACTTATTATTAATTATAAATGCTTGGCTGATAGCTCAGTTTGTCACTAATTGGCTCTTACAACTTAAATTAACCCATAATTCTTATTTACTTTTTGCCACATGGCTAGGTACATTTTGTTAGTATGGCAGGTTCATCTCTTGCTTCCTCTGCATCCTCTCGAGACTCTTAAGACTTCTCCCCTTCTTTTTCACCCTCTCTTTGTCTTTAAGTCCTGCCTCACCTTTACCTGTCCAGCTATTGGCAGTCAGCTTCTTTATTAAAGCAATCACAGTGACATATATTTATATAGTGTAAGGGAATATTCCTTTAATCCCAGCACTGTGGAGGCAGAGGCAGAGGGATCTGTGTAAATTCAAAGCCGCCTGATCTACACAGCAAGTTCCAGAATAGCCAGGGCTAATATAGAGAAACCCTGTCTCAACAAAGCAAAACAACAACCAAAGGACAGTGGTCATAGCTCAATAGCAAAGTGCTTATTTTACATATTGAAGGCTCTGGGTTCAATACCCAGCACCACCAAAAGATAAAAATAGATAGTTGAACAAATAGCCTGCTGGTTACTGAGGTTTGTCTTGTATATTGTAGCAATGGAGGATGCAAGTAAAAGTAAAGATTTAACATTAGAATGTTGATGTTCCAGGTAATATCTCCTTAGTAACCATGCTGTGCTTCATGAGGCAGAGTGGTCAGGAAATTAATAAAAATAGACAGTTTTAATCCACAATCCACAACTTAACAGTCTGCAACACAAGGTGTTTTGTTCAAAATAGAAGAAAAGTGTTCAATCTCCAGCAATAAAGAACAAAAACCAAAGTCACCACAACTCTCCAAACAGCATTTTGCTTAAAGAAGCTTCAGTGGCATTCCTGTTAGCGTGAGGGACAAGGCAGGGACATTTACTATCAGAAATAGAAGTAGAAAACAGAAGCATAAGAATGCCGAAGTGTTTAGATTGGTACTATGTAATTGGTCAAGAGGAACAACCAAGGCCAGTAGCATTAGAATTAAGATAATCCCAGAAAGTAACTAATTACAAATTAGTATGTAGCAATCAATAATAGTCACATATTATGTTTTTGCTTTGTTAAAAGATATAATGAAAGCAAAAATATATTTGTAGGAGGAACAACAACAAAATAAATGATAGGAAAAATATCAGAAACTTAAAGTGGGATTTCCTTCCATCTGAATTATCAATGTTTTTGGCCAAAGTTGTCCAGAATAGTCCTTTATTCTTTTAATTAAAAAACAACTCTTATTTAGGTAAAATTTATATATTACAAAATCCACTTATCTAAAGTTCATTGGATCTTAGTATGTTTCAGAATTGGCATATCAATCACAACAATATAATTTTAGAACATTTTGTTCTTGTCCCCTGACACGGTTCATATTGGGAACTAAACCCAGAGCCATGTGTTTTCTAAGCAAGCACTCTGTCCCTGAGCTAAATTTTTGAGTCTTAATTTTGTCACCACCCCAAGAACTTAAACACACACGGTGTTCACTTCCCATTCATCTTCCCCATGTCAGAAATTAAAGGGCCATAGATGTGTGAATTTCTGCATTCACAAATTTTTAAAACTTTTTCTTTGATACAATATAGTGTAATTATACCCTTTCTACTCCCCTAATTCCAACTTCTTGCAAATCATCCTCACCTCCCAACCCACCAACTCCATGTTTTCTCTCTCAAGAAAAAAAAAAAAAGAGAAGCAAAACACAAAAATCAAAACAGACAAGAAAAGAAAGATGATCAATAAGACAAATTATCAAGATGAAACAAAAGTGCACAAAGAAACATGGAGCCTGTTGTGTGTTGGCTAGCTACTCCTGGGCATGGGGCCTGCCCTGGAGTGTGTTTAACATACCCAGTGATACTCCACTGAAGAAAATTGATTTTCCTTTCCCAGAATGCTTCATTTGCAAATAGCTTGGCTAGGGGTGGCACTTTGTGTCCATTCCATTTCTTGGTGCTGGGAATTTGAACCTGTGCAGGTCTTGTGCATGCTGTCATAGCAACTGTGAGTTCACAAATCAATTCTGTTGAGTCTGGAAGACTCTGTTTTCTTGGAGTCATCCACCCACTCTGGCTCTTAAAATCTGCCTGTGTCGTCGCCCTCATAGATCTTGGATCCTTGATAAAGACATCTTATTTAGGTCCAAGTGCTCCAAAGTCAGTTACTCTGCACACTGTTGTCCTTGTGGGTCTCTGTGTTAATTCCCACCTACAGCAAGAAGAAGGTTTTCTGATGAGGGCTGTGCGATGCTCCTATATCATTGTTTCTAGGGCTATCCGTTTACTTGAAAACTTTGTTAACTTCATTTTTCTTACAGCTGAATCATACTCCATTGTGTAAATACCACATTTCTATTAACCATTCATGAATTGATGGACATCTGGGATGTTTTCTTCTGACTTGTTTTTGGTTTTGTTTTTTTGAGATGGGGTTTCTCTGTATTGCTTTGGAGCCTGTCCTGAACCTAGCTCTCTAGACCAGGCTGGACTCGAACTCACAGAGATTCATCTGCCTCCGCCTCCCCAGTGCTGGGATTAAAGTCATGCGCCACTAACACCTGGCCTAGTTTCTGACTTTTATAAATAGAGCAGCAATGAACATGGATGGGCAAGTATCTCTGTAGTAAGATGGAGTCCTTTGACTAGATGCGGATTTCCATAGGGGCTGCAGCAGTCTGCACTTCCAACAACAGGTGGTGAGTGCCTCCTTTCCCCATCTGTGACAGCATGAGCTGCTGTTTGCTTTATTGATCTTGGCCATTCTGACTGGGATAAGCAGTTTAATTTGGATTTCCCTGATGGCTAAAGATGGTGAATGTTTCAAAAGTGTTTCTCAGGCGTTTGTATTTCATCTTTTGAGAACTCTATTTAGCTCTATACCCCATTTTAAAATTGTTATTTTAGTTCTTTATTTCTAGATACTTTCTCCCTCCCTCCTTCCCTTTCTCTTCCTCTTTATCTTTGTCTCTCTCTCCCTCTTACTCTCACTTACATAAATACACATAAAATTGGCAATTCCCCCCCCCCCCATTCTATAGGCTCCATTGATGGTGTCCTTTGCTGTTTAAAAGCTTTTTAGCATCATGAAGTCCCCTGGTGAATTTTTGATCTTAGTGCCTGTGCTGTCAGTGTCCTGTTCAGTAAGTCTTTTCTGGTGCCAGTGAGTTCAAGTTTATTCCCTACTCTGTCTCCTATCAGATTTAGGGTATGTGCTCTTTTTTGAGGATTTTAACTCATTTGGAGTTGAGTTTTGTTTAGGGTGATAGATATGGATCTATTTTCATTCTTCTACACATACCTATCCAATTTGACCAGCACCATTTGTTGAAGATGGTCTCTTTTCTCCAGTGTGTATTTTTAGCTTCTTTGTTTAAAAAAAAACCAAGATGTCTGTAGGTATATAGACTTATGTCTGGGTCTATCTGTTTTCATTGCACTACCATGCTAGTTTTATTATTACAGCTCTCTAATACCACTTGAAATCTGAGATGGTGATACCTCCAGCACTACTTTTATTATTCATGATTGTTTTAGTTATCCTGGTGTGTGTGTGTGTGTGTGTGTGTGTGTGTGTGTGTGTGTCTGTCTGTCTGTCTGTCTGTCTGTCTATCTGTCTCCATATGAAGTTGAAGTGTTTTTTTTTTTGTTTTGTTTTTTTTTTTTTTGTTTGTTTTCAAAATTCTGTGAATTATGTTGAAATTTTGATGGGGTTGCTTTGAATTGGTAAATTGTTTTTGGTAGCATGGCCATTTTCAGAATATTAATCCAACCAATCTTTGAGAATAGGAGATTTTATCATCTCTTGGTGTCTTCTTCAGTTTCTATTCAATGTCTTTCACTTGCTTGGTAGAGTTACCCCAAAGTATTTTATTTGTATTTTTTGATGTTATTGTGAAAGGTACTGTTGATTTGGTGTCTTTCTCAGTATGCTTGTCATTTATATGTATGGAAGGCTACTTATTTTTGTGTGTTAATTTTGTATAAAAAATTGGATAGCATTGGTTGCCCCTGTACAAGAAAGATGAATGGTAAGGGTTGAGTGTGAGGAACTCTTGACGATTTTCTTTTTCATTCTGTACCATGTGACTGCATGCCCTATTTAAAAAATCTAGGTTTTTAGCCTGAATTCACTGTCTTCCCTGCGTCACTGTTTCTCTTTTCCTTCCCCTCCCTGACCTCCTGGAGCAGTGCAGCCATGGTCTGAGAGGGAACTATCTGAAGGTTAAAGGCTCTGACTCTGCTGCCCAGTCTGTGGATAACAAAACCTTTTCTCTCTTGCATCCCACAGATCGACCTGCTGGTTGGGCCGAGAGTATCTTTGAGGAAGAGATATCAGAACTTGAGCCTGTCTTCACCAGGTAAACGTCTTTCCAGTTTGCAGTCCAGACAGATGCGGGAGGGGAGGAGGACATTGATTCTCACTGGCTATGCTGAGGTGGGGGGGGACGGGACACACTACTTTTTGCTGAGCCTCCCCACTCTTCCCTAATACGCTTGTAGAGGGCGTGCATATATGCAAAAGCCAAGGTAAAATTCTTACAGGTGAGAAGCTCATGGAGTCTTTCCTGAGCGAGAAAGCCTCCCAGCAGACATGCTGGCTTACATGAGGAGTGTAAGGGGGGGTCTCAGTTTTCATTTCTGTTTCTCATTGATTTTAGCTGTGATCTCCAGCCTCTTATTAGTATGGGAAGGAATTCTGAGATCCAGTAATGTATTAGTTTTCCTTGCTATGATAAAGCACCTTAAAACTGCGACATAAGGGAGGAAGGGCTTATCAGGTGGCAAAGCCATGGCTGGTCATGTGCAATTAGGGAACAGGAACTGAACGACAGTGTTTTCTCCTTTGTTAACTCCAAGACCTCTGCCCATGGAATGGTGCCACCCGCTGTTAAGGTGGGCTTCTGGTCTCAACCTAATCTAGATAATTCCTCACAGGCATGCCCAGAAGTGATTCTAAGATCCTGTCAAGTTGACATTAACCATCATAACTCTACCCCTTGTCACCTGGACAACTAACCACATCACTTTAAAGCCATATCTTTCTTCCCCATGTCCCGTGGGTTCATGGCAATCTCATAATGCAAAATGCATTCAGCCCAACTTCAAAAGTCTCCATTGTCTTTAACAGTTCCAACATGATTTAAAAGTGTAAGTGATGAGCCTCTTCTGAGATCAGGAACTCTCTTGACTGCGAGTCCCTAGGTAGGAAGGAAGCTGCACATGAACACACACATCTTTTACCCCAGCACTTGATCTGTGACTCTGGTTCTAGGCGGCCAAGGCTACATAGTGAAGCTGTTTCAAAAAAAAAATTAAAACAAAACAAAACCCAAACAACAAAAAAGAAGTCACATACTTCAACACACAATGGCACAGATTAAACTTTCCCTTCCAAAAGACCAGGACCCAGCAGGGAAAGCCACTAAACCTTGTAGCTCCAGGTTGGGAATCAGGGGCTCTGCTGCCAATAGCACATATGTTTCTCTCAGGCTAGCCCTGCTCCACACCTCCAGCTTTCCTTAGTGGATATACCATGGTTGTGGCTGCTCCAGTGTCCTGGTGTCTTAGTTACTGTTTTGTTGCTGTAATGAAACACCATGACTAGGGCGGATTTTAAAAGAAAACATTTAATTGGGGGTTGCTTACAGTTTCAGAGCAGTAGTTCATGACCATGGTAGGGAACATAGAGGTAGGCAGGCAGGCATGGTGCTGGAGCAGTAGCTGAGAGCTTACATTCTGATCCACAGGCAGCAGGCAGAGAGGATGGAGAGGGGAGGAGAGGAGAGGAGAGACAGAGAGAGAGAGACAGAGAGACAGAGAGAGAGAGAGAGAGAGAGAGAGAGAGAGAGAGAGAGGAGGGGAGAGAGAGGAGAGAGAGAGACTGGGCCTAATGTGGGCTTTTGAAACTTCAAAGCTGAAACCTCCCTGTGGGTAGTGAGACACCTTCTCCACCAAGGCCACCCCTTCTTATCCTTCCTGAACAGTTCTATTAATGGAAGACTGAGTATTCAAATATGAGCCAATTCTCATTCAAACCACAACACCTGGGGCCCACTGAAACCTAAACGTTATCTTCACAACCTTACAAAGCCTCTCAGAACATCCTAACAGACTCACACATCAGCAACATTTGAAATCAACATTAGGTTTTATTTAAAATACTTATAACCCCCATTGGGGTTATAAGTGACCTGAGGGAAAATGTAATGTTTTTGTTAGCTGACATCTTACCTTCTGTCCCTGTAGGTCTATAGGCAGCATCCAGCACTGCCTCCACCTGACCTCAGTATATACCCATTTCCTGCCCCAGCATGGCCGCCCGGAGGTCACAACAATGCCCTTAGGTCTCGGGATGACAGTGGATTACATTTTTTTCTCCGCCGAATCCTGTGAGAATGAGAATAGAACTGGTAAGCCTGGTGAATCGGGTTTCTAGAAGCCACCCCAGGGTGTCTGGGGATAGTTGACAGTAGGTTTGGTATTTGGTGGCTTGGCATTGGCTACAGGAGCCTGAGCATCACAGAAGCTGACCGGGTCAGCGTTGTGCACAGTCTCTCTGCAGGCCACCTACCTGCTTTCTCCTTTTCTTGAAGTGTCAGGGTTGGGACAGAGGGACAGTCATTCCTATTCTCATCATAGAGATAAAGTAGAGCACTAGAAATAATTAGACTTGTCTAGGGCAGAAGTCAGGGAGGGACTTAGGGTCAGATGCTGTTTCTTCTTGCCATTAGTTATGGTGCGCAGTGGGCCAGCCCTGTGCCTAGTTTGCTTGTTACTTTTATTATATTTGAATTAATTGCCTACACTTTGAGGCCCACTTCTACCATAAAGCATGGCAGGTGGCTGTTGTACCTACTGGCTTCTGCTTTGTGCCCCAGATCACAGGCTGGATCGAGACGGAACTCTCAAGCTCCTGGGCCGCCTCTCCCTCCTCTCTGAAGAGATTCTCTGGGCTGCCAATGGCTTACCCAACCCCTTCTACTCTTCAGACCATCTCTGCCTGCTCGCCAGCTTCGGCATGGAAGTCACTGCCCCATGAGGGCTCCCAGGGAAAGAGCTCACTGGATCGATGACTGCAAATGCCCCGTGCTGTGGAAACTTATGTCTCTCCCCTCATTCCCTCCTGCCCGTGGTTAGACTTTCTCCAGGCCTGCCCACGTTCTGTGCCTGTGGTCCCTGTCCTGCCCCAGCCTCTTTCTAATCCTGTGCCACATGCTAGGTGGCCCTGGGAGAGGTGGAAAGCGCTCTCCTTCCTTCCGTGTACCTGGAGCCCCCTCCCCCATTGATTTTTAATGACCAGGGTTGCGGGAGTTATTGATCTCATTGGTTATTTGCTTTCAGGCCATTTCTTGGTGGCACCCACCCTCTGACCTAACTTCTCCCTCCCTTTATTGCCTCTGGGCTCTGGCATGCACATGCAAGGTGTGTGTAAAATGTGAGTTCTCTAGGTGGGGGTAGGGGGCACTGCCTGGTACAGCCAGACCTCCTTCTGCCCAGTCCACATGCCATCATGAGGTGCTGAGGTAGGGGCAGGCTTTGAGCATGACACAATAGCAGTGTGCCGCTAGAAGGCAGAAGGTGTGGGCCCTTTACCCTCTGAGTTTCATTAGTTAGTCATGTAGGCAGCCTGGGCACACTTGTTATTTCTGGAGACAGATTGGCTCACAGCCTGGAGCAGCAGCTCAGGGACACACCACAACTCCTCAGACCCCGGTGACTTTGCTAGGACTTCTCTGAGGAAGGCAGTTTGGTCTTGTGTTGGGTTCAGTGGGCTGGCACTGTGGTGTGAAGTTTAAAGCATCTTAGGGATAAGGAGACTGAACCTTTATGGAACTTGGTCTCACTGGACTCTTCACAGCTGGACAAGAGTTCGAGTCCTGGTAGAAGAGCAAGAGGCTCTACAGCTGCCTTCACCAGGCCTGGAGCCCAGAGCCTTGTTCTCTGACCTCTGCACACCTCAGAGTTCCTTTTCTCCATCTCAGTCCCCTCCCCAACCCTGCCTCCTCTTGCCTTCCGTGTTCCCTTCTGTTCTCTCTCTAGAGGAGCATGCTGTGTAGCTCAGTCCAAACCATCTCAACAGAAGCCTGGCTTTGGGCAAAGTAGCTCTAAGGACTCAGGGTGGCAGCACTTGGAGATGTGCACTGCCTTTCCTACCCAGGCATGGGACCCATGGGACCCTGCTCAAGACCCCTGCAGCCCATACCATATCACCTGCATGCCTTACTCATTGCTGGGGTGTAGTCAAGGTGTCCTTGGGAAGATCCTCCACATAGCTTTAACCCACTACCTGCTGGCCCTCGGTTGTCTGCTCCATTTCCCCTGGGGACTGGAGGGGATGACTGAGAGGCTGTGGCTAGGGATGCTGGGCCAGAACCTTATGTTCTTTCCTTTATTTGAAAGCCAAAGACCCAGCCACAATGCTGCTACATTGCTGACTCCCACCTTCTCTCGCTCGGGTTCTGGGGGAACTTCTTTTCCTGTGTGTGCGTCTGTTTTTAAGTTTTGTTTTCTGGGTATTGGACAGAAGCCTGTCTGAGCCCCAGGCCCGACTGTCCACATCCCACTTTTCGCCATCTCTCTCTGGGCACCTCCTGAGATGGTTTCACGACTGTGTCCTGTTGGTTCTCAGGACAAGGGCCCATGACGAATCCCTCTGCCAGGGTATGCAGGTTCAACTGCTAAAGAGGTGGAGGGCCAGAGTTTGATGGTTTATCTTTTCCTTGTTTATTTGTTTCTGTTTTAGAAATGAAGTGTGGGGTTTAAATGGCATTTAAGCTACACTCTGTAGCCGGCAGAACCAGGCAACGTTTATCCAAATAAAGGCTTATCATGCCCCTTCTATTGTTGGTCTTTTCATTAGGACTCTGAGAGGCATGGGGTTTGAGAGAGTTGGAGGATGTGGTGGCCAGAGGGTCTAAGGAGCTTTGATCCTGGGGGAGGTAGGGCCATAGGTCAGGGGTGGGGCCTTTGGATCTAAATGGAGAACAGAGAACTTTGCCATCTGTCTATTATCTTCCCTGTGCTCTGGGACTTTGGAGGACCAGGGTTTGAGTAAAGTCCCCTGCCTGCCCTTTGCAGAGTGCAGCTGCCTTCTCTGTCGCCCGGTGAGAAGAGAAGGGCTCTAATTTAGCTGCTTTTTGCCCTTACTCCATCTGCTGCCTTGTGTCTCTCTGTAGACTGTCGACTTTTGCAGATGGGTGGGTGTGGAAAACGGGATGTTCCTGGTCAAAGCAGTGGCAGCTGCGTGAGGCATGATGTGTGTAGCAGATGCCTCTTGCTGGGTATCTATTTCTGATCTTCTCTTGTAGTCTGGAGCCAGGGCTGAGCTGTGGGCCATCTGTCGTTAGAAACACTTATCTTCCTTGCCGTCCTTAACTGCCAGTAATTATGTCCTTCTCTGGTCTCCTTATGTGGTACAGCAAGCCAAGGCCTCATGAGATGAGCCACGGTTTTCTGTCTTACCTCAACAGATTGCCAGCCCCCATACTCAATCTCCAGTCAATGTCTTCCCAGGGACTGGTATTATTTAAAGCCACCTGGAGCTGCTGGTGCACCCTGGGTCAGAATTCACTGATTTAGGGGAAACCAAATCTAGCCAGGGATTAGGATTAGGGTGCGGTGCCTTGGCCAGGCTGGCTGGTGACTGGGTAAGTCACTTAATAACTCTGCCTTTGGGTTTGCATCCCTTAGTGAAAGAAAGTTGAAGGGGTTTTAGGTCAGTGTTGCTTGTGCTATGGCAAGAAAGGAATGCTAAGAATGCTGAAAAATTCTGGTAGGTTGAATAACTGGCCCCCATGGACTGGGAAGTATTTGACAGCTCAGGGCTTTGAGTGATAGTTTTTTCATTGCAATGGAGGGTCCCCCAGTACCTCACTCCCTAAACACACACTCAGAATTTGGTTAAGATTTTATGCTGATCTTCCACTTATTGTGTGAGTGTATGTGTGGGTGCATGTTCAGGTGGGTGCACATGTGTGTGGATGCTTGTGATCTGTATGTGCATGCATGTGGAGGCCAGAGATCAATGGTGGGCATCATCCTCCAGGATCCATCTGCCCTGTTTTTTGAGACAGGGTCGCTCATTGGCTTAGGACATACTAAGTAGTCTAGACTGACTGGCAGGTAAACTCCGGGGATCCTTTCTGCTTTCCCAGTGCTGGAATTACAAGACTGTGCCACCATGCCCAGTTTTATGTTGGTTTTAAGGATCTAACTTAGGTCCTCACGCTTGCACAACAAACACTTTACTGAGTGATTTCCCCCTCCCACTAGGAGGCAGTAGGGGGGTTGTCTTGAAAGCTCTTCCACCCCTGGGGAAGTAGAGACCCAGTGACAAGCCCAGAGTCTTGAATCATGGTTTAGTTTCTTGCTGGCTTATGCTTCTCAGACATAGCCTTCCCAGAGGAACAGGGGAGCCAGACTTTCTTGCAGGGCAGGAGTCAGGAAGAGTTCAGAAACAGCTTTCAGGTGGAGGCTGGGAAGGGATCTGATCAACCGGCTTCATTTGCTTTTTCTTTCCAGTCCTATGCTGGAATGTAGTGACTCATTGGAGAGCCAGGTTGTGGTGTGTTAAGTAATTTGCAATGCAGTTTCTCTTTTCCCAGGACATGAAAGCCCATCTCTAATAGTTTCTACCAGGAGGGAACTGTTTGGGACCCAGGACTCCCAACAGCGTGGTGCATCCTTGCCTGTGATTTAACTGTTGAAGATGAGGGACATCTAGAAAGCCTGACAAGGTGCAGATCAAACCGGGGCAGAAGATTGTGAATTCCATGTGTTTGGCAGGGAAGTTGGCCCTTCTGGATTACACCCTGTCCTTATGAGTGGGACTTCAGCTAGCTCTGGAAAGAATGACATCTTATATTTTATCACACTTGCAGTCTTGGAAATTTTGTTTTCTATTAGCAATTTCTCTCTGGCTAGGGATTGCAAAGAGTTGTCATGTATGGGCTGGCTCACTAGATGGTCTGTCTCTTCCACCTGTTGGTCTCCACCGCCTTGGCAAACACTTAAGTGTGGCCAGGTAACCTGCATCTGGGGCAATCTCAGTCCTTGGTATGATAATTGCTTCCCATTGCCACTGCCCTCCACAGTAGCAGTCAAAATGCTTGGTCCTGGCAGATGGGGAGGATGAGTCAGTCCATCAGTCTCCTCTTTTGGGAAGTGTCAATTTAGACGTGATCCTGAGTGAGGTACGGGCAGCAGAAAACAAATGCTTCCTCCAGGAACTGGGGTCCTGAACAGCCCAGAGGTCAGCAGCAACACTACACCTGCATTCTATGAAAGTGATTTAGCAGTGACCATAATGACTCTGGCTCACCCAGCCCAGTCTATGAAAGCGATTTAGCAGTGGCCACAATGAGCTTGGCTCACTGATGACCTAGGCTTACCCTAGGCTATCCCTATCCCTCTTCAGGAGCATTTCCAGGCCCACTGTGGGCCTGTACCACTGGGGCTTCCTACCAAATTTTCTGCTGTGTTTAATTGTAGCTAGATTTACATGTGTAAATAGTATATCCCCAAGGAACACCTTGCATTCACCATATCCACAAATTCTGGCTGCCTTTCTGTAATTGTTTTAAATTTGGGGGGGGGGCGATAACAAAACTGTCTCAATTTAAATGGCCAGTGTAAATTAAGGGGTCAAGCTACCCCTAGATATTAGCATATCGTTTCTCCTCAGCTGCCATGCTGACCCCAAGCCTGGCCATCACAGCACTCTTAAGCTTGATGAGAGACGTGAGGAATGACAGGAGCTGTGTCCTTTAAGAGATCATTTCTATGTGGGTTTGGTTTCCAGTGTTTGCACTTGTCTTGGTGCTTAGTGTGGGTGGGTAAGAGGTCCAGAGCCAAAGGACAATGGAGAGGACAGTGGTGGCTCCAGAGGTTTTCCCAAAGCTATGGCTGAGCTACTGATGAGAAGAAACCAGATCCCTGCTGCTGCAGCTTCCTGAAATGAACTGGCTTTCTCCTTTCTCCTGATTGACTGTGGAGGGCAAGGGCACAGCTATATCCTGGGAGTTGTGTGAGGAAGAGGTGCCTCCTGGCAGGGTGGGAAACCTAATCCCAGATTAGGGCTAGCAAGAACTGAATAGCTTTGACAGGCTGAGAGTCGGAATCCAGAAAGGCCACCGTGGTTTGCCAGGGCTAGGAGGCTTCCTGCTCCCCACTCTTCGGTTCTCCTCCCATCTGCTTAGGGTCTAGGCTTCTTCCTGCAGCCAGTGGGGCCGACGGTGTGGGAATGGGCTTGGGCTCCAGCTCCCAAAGTGAAGCAGACAACGGTTCGTGTGGTTTCTGCCAGCCCACACAACAGGAGCCGGGGAGACTTTATTCATTTCAGGGGAAGTGAGAAAGGAATGAGACAAAGTGTGCGCCGAAAGGCGGGGGTAATACTGATATGAAGACAGGGATAATGACATCTAGGACAACACATCAATCGAACAAAGCACAGGGGGTGGACGGTCCATCGTCATCACTGGCCCAGGGGTCGACTGTATCCTGACTTCTTTTTAGACTTAAATTAACAAGGAGGCTCGGGGACCCCAAAGCACCAAGCTGGACTGAGAGGGTCCTAGAAGAGGACTTGCAGCTAGCACTGGCAGCCCCACCTGCCTGGAGATGCTGGTGGGAGGCTGTGGTACCTGGCAGGGTTAATCCTTAGCTCCCGTCTACTCCCTCTAGAATATCCTTGCCTTTTACACCTCTAGCTATGGGTCCCCACCTGCATATCCTTGCACTCAACACCACCGGCAGCATGTCAGGGTGGAGCAGTGATGTGTTAAGCCAGAATCCATTCCAGGCAGGAAAGCCAGGTGTTCATGCACACAGACCTCGGGGCACAACACAGTTACCATTAGACCTATTTCCCTGAGCCAGGAAGTCACCCCAGCTGGAAGGGGATGGGGCATGATACGACAGGAAGGACTAGACATCAGCCGGGGTCAGTTTTATGAGTCGGCTCCTCAGTACCGGGTCCCTAGGCTTCATCATCTTGTCTGGGGCCAGGGGGCTGCTGCTCTGCCCACTTGGCCATGCCCACTATGGATGGATGGCTGGCATGAGGGATGGGGGTGGGGAATTGTGAGGCTATGGAGGGAAAGGACTGGCAGGGGTCTGGGTGGAGAAGAAGGTTCTTTGAAGCCAACTTCCCAGTGTTCTGACTCAACACCAAGCACAGGGAACCTCTGCTCTCCCCCCCCCCCACCAAGGAACTTCCTCTGACCTCACCTTGACCCTCCTCAGTAAGCAGCCCCCAAGGGTGGGGCAGAGAAGCTGAAAGGCAGGCCTGAGTCAGGAAGTCTGGGGTCACATCCCTGTCCCCCATAGGAAGTGAGATGAAGTGTGATGCCATGGATGGTGACTAAGGCCCCAAAGTCCCCGCCTCTGCCTCCCCAGAAACCACAGCCAGGCCAGCCCCAGAAAGCACAGCCTGTGTAGATGGCCCCAGAGGGGAGGATGGCTTGCTACATATGAAGAAAGAGTAAAAACTAAAAAGCACCACTGTGGCCTATGGCAGTCTCCACAGGCCGGAGGTCCTTAGCTCAGGAGAGCTGAACAGCAGGGGGCAGACCACAGCTGGCCCGCTGTCAGATGCTTCCTCACAGCCCCCATCCATCCCCACAGCCTCCATCGGATCCCTTCTCTCCTGAGCCTCAGAGGAAGGAACAGGCTGAGCCGCTGTCCCCAGGCTCTGGGACCTGCAGGTCTTCTCTAAATACACCTGACCCCAGCTCCCTCACACCCCTTTCTCCCGTATTCTGTCACATCTTGAAGTTCCCACATTCATAGCCAGAAAAGCTCTTGTCCAGCCTCGTACCTCTCAAGTGGGCATGGGAACGTGGGGACCACTGTCCCTACTCCCTGAACTCTGAGGTGGATCAAATTGTGTCACGTCCCTTTGGGGCTTCAGCCATGGAGCTGGCCAGGGGGTATAGCCTAGGGGAAGGCTGTACCCTCCCCGTGGTGAACCTCTGACCCCAGGAGGAGCCAGGTGACACGGGACTAAGCAGCTGGCCTCCCATGGTGCCTGTGCACGGTCCGTGGGCCTGGCTCTGGGCCTAGGAGCTGTTGGTGTGATGGGCAACCAGACTCTATGTGACATGTCACCAGCAAAGGCACCCTGCCTCCTCCTGCCCCTCCTCTTTACTCGCAGCCACCATCCATTTCCAGGCAGGCATGAGCTTCACCATTCTATCCTACTGCATCCCCTCTGGTGAGCCAGCAACCACACATGGTCTCTGCAGGATGGGGGGGAGGAGGGGGATGGCAAGGGAAGTGGGCCCTTTCTGCCTCTGGGAAACTGAAAACTGTCACATTTCCATCCACAGCCAGCAGGATCTCCCCACAAGCAGCCCAAGCTCACTATCTACCCCAGAGGTTGAAGGCTGGTACTTGGTACTCTCTTAACCTATAGTGATTTCTTGAACTGATTGTTAACTTTTAAAAATTACAATTCATGTTCCAATTCAGAGTCCTGTCCTTAAAAAAAAAAAATAAGCACCCCCCCAACTACCTCTTAGGGTCTGCACTATGGGACCAGTAGAATGCAGCAGCCCACTTTTATGGGATATGCTCCTTGTTGGACACAGTCCCCACCCAGCACTAGTCCTCATTATTTGCTGGTCCCATAGGCATTTGAGTTCCTAGCTCTGTTGCTCTTATCCAAGTCCTCAGCTCTCTGCAGCCATATGGCTGCTGCTCAGGCTGACTCTGCCTCTCCGGAAAGCCCCTCCGTAGTCACCTCACCCTGTGACCCTCTGTCACGTAAAGCCTCCAGCAACCTGACAAGAACTGTCTGTGCTGCAGGGAACGTAGTCCCCACACAGCCCTCTCCTGAACTGCCATCCACTCCCAGCTCCTGGGCTGTCTCTCCTCCCTCCACACCTCACTTTCCATCAGGGATCTCTTGCCTGAGGGCCCAGAGGTAGATAACTCCTGCTGCCTGGCCTTCTCCCTGCCAGTGGCCACGGAGACTGCTCAGGCTGGCTGCCACCCCAAGCCTAAATGGGCAGCTAAGGCAGGGAAAGTGGGCCTGGGGTATAGGCATCCTGGTCCGGTCTTGTTTCCCCAGCAAGGGCTGAGATTATTAGAACAGGAGAGAAGAGCCCACTCACAACTAGAGGGCCCGACTCAACTACCCTATGCCCAGCAGTTTCTCAAGGTCATGGTGTGCCCTGTGCAGTTCTGGACTCTCAGCAAAGCCCTTCTGCAAGGAGGTCCCGGGCTACAGCAATAGTTAAGACTAGACTGAACCAGCAATGTGCTGGGGGCCAGGAACTCTTCCCTGCATGGTCTCTCCTGGTTCACCTAGAGCCTAACCCTGTGCGTGCGTGCGTGCGTGCGTGTGTGTGTGTGTGTGTGTGTGTTGGTGGGGCACAGCACTGTCTAAAGAGTCACACTGACTTGAGGGCTCTCCTGGGCCATAGGTAGACGTGTTCTCTGCCAAGTTCCTGATTTGAGGAATAAATGGACCTTTTTCAGGGGAACCCTACCCTGCTTCCCTTTCTCTGGGTCATGATTCTCCATCTCTACCCCACCCCACCCTCACCCCACAGGCTGGTGAGGCTCACCAACCCGGATCACTGCTGAAAGAAGGGTCCCACGGAACCAGCAAGTCCTCCCCAAGCCACACAGTACTCAGAGAGAGCACGCTTTGACAGCGACCAGTATATCCGTGCCTTTCCCTCCAAATACCTTAACTTCAATTGAAGGGCTAAAACTCCAAATAAAATACTAACTGCTTCTTGCCCCAAAGTTGAGAGGGAAAGTCACCTGGGGGCTGATTTGCAAGGCATCCTTCCTGCCTCCCACCCCCGGCCCATCCCATCACCGACCCCTGCCTGAATGAAGTAGATGGGTCAGGGTCTCCAGAAGCAGAGGAGGCCTGGGGGTGTTGGCATCTGCCTCACACCCGGATCTGGTACCCATTGAGGTCTGGCACGGCTTTGGGCTCTGCAGGCTTCTTCTCCCCCGAAGGCCTGCAGGAAGAAAAACAGAGGGTACAGAAGAGAAGGACTGGTTACTAGGGAGATGGAGGGAGGGGTGGAGGACTGCCCTGCTGGCTTCCCCCTCTAAGGGGTCTTCAGCAGCAGCAGCAGCAGCAGCAGCAGCAGCGGGTATGGAGTGTTTCTGGAACCTCAGCTGGTCAGAATGGGGCATCCTAGACGATCCCCTGCTGTCCCACAGCCTCTTGCTCTTCAATGACAATTACCAAACTGATAGTTTGTGGGTAGCTGCCTCAAGTACAACCCAGAATTGGTTCCCTACAAAAGCCTCCTAGATCAAAGTCAGGATGATGGGTATTTTAGCGCGAGAGTTCTGCTCAGCACCCTCACTTCATAGCGGACAGATGACTTCAGGACAATTATACTTAAAGCAAGAGCCAGAATGGTATGTGGGAGAGGGGATCAGAGCAAAAGGCATGGCATTTAAATAGCAAATCTTGCCATTTGGACACAGACCAAAAAAAAAAAAAAAAAAAAAAACCCAGACCATAGGGCAAAAGGTGTGTTCTAAACCTTCTCTCCTGACTATGCAGCCTTGGGTTATAGATGAGCCCCTTCAGCACACTGAGGAGAACTCAGGGCCCTGTGTGAGTCCCATTGGGCCCACCCTCCTTTCAGGCCATTCTGCTGCCTCCTTCAGACCTGGCCAGGCACAGGGTAACCGGAGACAGCTGAGGGGCATTTTCCTTGGGGAAATGGCACCATACTGCTGTACGCAATGTCAACAGACACAAGGGTCCATCGTCCCGTCCCGAGTGACCTCTCAAAGAGAAATGGATGGGAAGGAGGAAAGAGGGAGGGGCCAGGAGAGGAGGGGGAAGGGAAGGAGGCTTTTGGGGGTCTCCTTTCTCACCGTCTCTCACTGCGGCTGTTCCTGCGGTGGGGGCTGGACTGGGCCCTCTGTGGGGAGGAAACATCCTTCTTCCGGTCCTTGGTGGGAGAGGGAGGGCCTGTCCCCTTGCCAATCTGGATGGGGAGGAAAAAGCATGTTCTGGGCTGCCCCATTGCCCACTCTGCTCCGCTGGGAGCCACTGGCCCTAGAAGCTGCCCTAGGCACTGTTGCACTGCAAAGCCTCGGGTGGCCTTTGCATGTCTCTGGGTCACCCTGGCATAAACCACCAGGGCAGCAGATCCTTGGTAGGGCTGTCTACCCCCTGGGGGGTTCTGAACATAGTGCAGGAGCTGTCACTGGGCCATCATAGGACTGGAAATCACCTCTGAAGAAAGGCCTTTTTACCCAGGCAAGGTAAGTGTGCCAGATGCGGATATGGCAAACGCTGAGACAGGTCCTACCTGTCTGACCGTGACACTATCTCAGGCCAATCAGATGCCAGACTGGCAGCTGTATCTCTGATTCAGAAAACAAAACAAAACCAAAACAAGAAAAATAAAACAAAACAACAACAAAAAACAGAATCACCCTTTATGTAGTGTGGTCAGCCCACTTTGAGTTTCCTTCCCTCCCAGAGCTATGGAGCGATTAAAAAAAAAGAAGCAACATGGGGATCTAATCTAGCTCTGGTCAGACTGAGTCAAAAGCATTCAAGAAGGCATCTATATAGGCTCTATTTCTATCTACGTCTTGTTGCTACCTGGAAACACTGAACAAGGGGGTTGCGGGGCCGCCAGGCTGGGAGAAGAGAGTGCCCCCCCACCCCCACCCCACGAGTGCACAGAAGAGCCTTTCTGTAATGCATGCCTGCAGCAGCATCTACCTTAGGGGAAGCCAATGTTAACCGCAGGGATTTGAAGGCACAGGTCACAGTGCAGTAAGGCTGCATTTCAGAGAGGGACTGACCACTGGGTAAAGTGATGTCTGGCCCAGGGAGGTCGAGAGTCCCTTCTCCAATCTTATCTGCTGGAAGGCTGTGGAAGCCAACTAACTCCTCAGGATCTCAGTCTACTGATGTTGGTCTAAGACATTCTTCCAATCTCCAGCACCAACTGAGTGGTGGGGAAGATGGGGAGGAGCCGCCAAGCTCACTGTCTTCCCCATGGGGGACCTTCCCCTTTCTGCTGATCTCCTGGCCCTTTACCATGGGCAGGGACTCAGGAGTCAGGAGTCAGGATGGACGGAGGAGGTGGGGACTGCTCACTACCCTATCCTGCCACATTCTGATAGGCCAGACACTGCTTCTTCCATTCAAAGCACCGCCCAGGCCCCGGGTACAGTGTCCTTCACATGTCAAAGACCTATGACTGCAAACACAGCTCACTCCCTTCCTCCTAGCGTTATTGGTCTGCCCACCAAGGGTTCAACGTCAACAGGACTTCTGTGAGTAATGTCTGATCCCGAGTCATTCTCAGGCAGGCCCTATGGGCCAGGGCAAGCCTGTGAAAGCATGGAGAGGAGCCTAAGAGGAAGAAACAGGTGACACTGGCCCTGGGGACCACTGCTATTCTAACCTTGAGACGCATATCTCGGGCATGACGCTCTAGCTCCTTGCGGAAGTCTTCCCGGCCCAGCCTCTCGACGTCCAGCACGGAGTGCTTCCATTCGATCTGTTCCACACTGTGGGGGTCGTGGGACACGCACTGGCCCAGCTTTACCTTCTTCAGCACATGCCAGCAGCGGCCATAGGCCGCCTCGTAGTCCAGCACGAGCTCACTGAGTGTGCGGAAGGCTGGAGGTTTATACATCAGGTCTTCCCTCCGGCTCATGCCCAGGGCTCCATAGCGGCCCCCAAAGTTCACCCCCAGCACAATGTGGCGGAAGTAGTTCCCTGAGAAATAGGTCTTGAAGCTGATGGGGAAGCGTTCCAGGGTGGGCATGCTGTTGGTGAGGTAACTGGTGAATCAGTGAGTTAAGGAAAGGCCAGGCTAGGATGGTATATGTGCCAAGGAGCCCCTAATCGGTCATCTTCTGAAGCCAGACAAACTGGTCACAAATACCTGTCTCCCGCCCCAGCCCTGACTGGGGTCCCTGCAGAGGGCTGCTTCCCCTGAGGGGCTTGTCAGTCTTCCTAGGTGCACCTCTGCCCCTGGGGGGCTGTCCGAGAAACCCTGTGTATCTTTGTCAGCAGTTCGGCTTCCAAGACCCTATCGGTCTCCTCTGTAAATCAGCACGATCTGGGTATGTCAACAGCGGGCCTCTCAGTTGCTTCTCCCAGACTTAGAAATGGCGCAACAACCAGGGTACAACACTGTACCCAGCTCTGGAGTTCTAGAAACAGGGTCACCTTGTCCTGGGACTCAAGAAACGAGCTTTGCAGCAGGCCTAGCAAGGTAATAAGAGGAGGCAGGCAGAGACAACGAACTCCCTAATAATCTCCCCTTTAGCAGACTTTGCCCCTCCTAGGGAGGCTACTCCAAACTGGAGACCCAGAGATGCTAGCACCAGAGAGAGACCAGGAGCCCTTAGGACCCTCCCATTCCACAGCAGGCAGCCAAGGCTGGGTCGCTCCGAGCCAGACTCTCCCAGGCTCTAGGAAGGATACATTCCCAGGATCACAGCTTCCAGGCATTTGATTGGCAGAGCCTCTTTGGTCATTTCCTTGGCCAGGTCCATCAGCCTATGAGAAAGGGAGGCGGAGCTGTGCAGAGCTGGTCTCCTGCCCACTCAGGCCCCCTTTGGGGATGAGCCAGAAAGACTGTAGCAGAGACTTCCCTCCAAGCGCTGTCCTCCCAGGCCCGCTGTTTCCTCCCCCCTCCCAAGTCTAGAGTCTGAGGGGGTGAGGAGGTCGGCCCTGGAGCTCAGGAAGTGGGCCCACTCTCTCGGCCATTTCCTTCCATTCGCTTTTTCCTCCCTGGCCTGGCCCCTGCGCAAAGACTTCTAGGGGAAGGCAGCATGAACGGAGGCAGGACCCAAGGAGCCTATGCCTTCCCAGGGTCAATGGGGCTTGGGGAGGGGAAGAGCTCAACATGGATGCTGTCCCTTCCTGAGCACACTAAACACTCCTCATCTAACCACAGCTGCCCAAAGAACTTGCTAACTGATGGAAAGTACTCTCTGCAGTCTGGATGTAGGATCTCAGGAAGACAGCCGACCCTGCACTTAACTCTCTCTCTCTCTCTCTCTCTCTCTCTCTCTCTCTCTCTCTCTCTCTCTCTCTCTCTGCCCTTCAAGACAGGGTTTCTCTGTGTAGCCCTGGCTGTCCTGGAATTCACTCAGTAAGCCAGGCTGGCCTCAAACTCAGAGATCTGCCTGCCTCTGCCTCCCAAGTTCTGGGACTAAGGGAATGAGCCACCACCGCCAGTCTAAATTAGGACATTTAGAAACATTCTGGCCTCGGGGTCTGGGGACTCAGTTTGGCCACTGGCTTTGTCTGGGACTCCTGTATGAATGGCAGGATGGAATGGGACACCAGTACACAGCCAAGAGCAAAGCCTGGGATCAGAGAAGGTGGGTTCAAGCCAAGGGTTTAGGATGGGGCAATTAGTTAAATAAATAAGCAACTCAGGCCATCACCCCCTCCCCCAATTAAGTAAATAAGCAACATAAAACAAGTTGTCCAGAATAAGAGATTCAGTCTGCATGCTGAGTCTGCATGCTGAGTTTGCATGCTGAGTCATGGCAGGCTAGGGAGTGAGGGAAGCAGTTTTTTTGGGGGGTGGGGTGGGGGATCTGGACTTTCGACTTCATGACCAGAAGAATCAAGGACAAACTGGGTAAGTATGTAGGTACCATGAAGTGCAGGGTGCATGGGAGGCTTCAAGTAAAGGAAAGGAAAAGGCCCCTCTCTGCTTAGCCCACATGGCCGCCTCCTCTCCCTGTCCACAGCACCTATCTATCCTGAACTGGGCAAGCTGGGAAGGAGGGCTGCCCTACTAGCTCCTTCAGGTTTCCCTTGGGTGGCTATCTCATTGGGATTTCCTTACCCAGGGTAGCACCCTTCCCCCATCCCATGCCGGAAAGTCCCCGCCTGACTTCTTAAACTGTCACTCAAAGGCAAACCACCCAGCACCAAGGTTCCCTACTGGGATCAAACCCAGTGGGAGGTGGGGGAACCCTGAGAGCCCGGGAAGCCCAGTGCTTACCCTGTCAGAGGTCTGCTCTTCTTAATTTCAAAGAACTGTGTCCCTGTGTGATTGTACCTGGAGATAGTGGTTAAGGGCTTCCTGGCTTGGTCTGGAAGCCTGCCTCGTTCCCTGGCTGCTACCCCAGACCCTAGGGTGGCTACAGAAGGACCCCTTAGAACATCTGCCACCAAGACCCACGAGAGATGCTTAGGCCTTGTTCTCTGGGAAGTGGGGATGGGGTACAGCATGGGTGTGCTTCTTGCTCTCGTAGCTCCCTCCCCACTTTTTGGCTGTCTCCCTTGTTCTTTCCTGTCCTCCTGTCTCAGGATAGGAGGACAGTGAGTGGGCAGCCAGCCCTGTAAGGCTGAGAAAGCAGCCTTAGCTGGGGACAGCTCCTGGCAGTGTAGGATTTTCCAAACAGCCAAGAAGGCTAGAGGGACCACCCACCTCCCCTGTGCCTTCTAGCTAGAGTCATTTGGGACAGGGGAACCTTAATGAAGAAAATGCCCCCTCCAGACTGGCTTGTGGGTATGCCTATGGTGGATTTTCTTAATTATGATTGATGTGGGGAGGGGGCCCGGCTCATTCTGTGTTGTGCAGCCTCTGGGCTGGTGGTCTTGGGTACTATAAGCAAGATGTATAAGCCACAAGGAACAAGCAAGTAAGGGACCCAGAACCCAGGACACATGGCTGCTGGGCAGAAGCTCCAGGGGCCCAGAACAGAGGCAAAAGGCAGTAGCCTGCTGCCAGGGAAGAAGAATGCCAAGAAGTAGGAGAAAACTCGAAGATGTGGATATTGGAGCAAAAGATTCTTCCTCTCCTCCATCCTCCCAAACCCATCATGGCAATGACCCCAAAGAGCTGCTTCTGTCCCTTGGCTGGGGCAGGATGAATGACATCTGGTACCCCCTTTTCTTATTAAGGTACTTAGGAACCCCCTTCTCTTCCTACACACACACACACACACACACACACACACACACACACACACACAGGGAAGCTTGTACTGGAGAAGCACTCAGGCACAGCTCCAGGGAACAGAGATACCAGTGAATGGCAGCTTTGGAGGTGGGAGGGAGCCAGCCCTGCGGATCCCTCTCTAGGCCACACTTGGTCTTTGGGGCTGTCACTAAGTGGTGGCTACAGCTCTGGACTCAAGAGGATACTGCAGCTCCCTGATGTAGCGCTGCACGGCTTCCAGGCGCTCAGGAATGGGCGTCGTCGGCTGGAAAGTAGGCACACTTGGTATGGGAATCTAGGGACAGATGGAGAAAAAAGCTCTGTCACATGGATAGTCACACCCTGGAGCTTCCAGCCCCCCAGAGCAACACCCAGGGGAGGCTCCTACTCTGAGCAGCTCTCCCTGGGAGCTCTTCTTTCCCAAGCCTCCTCCTAGGCCCTCAGCTCAACCAACCCTGATACCTGACTGTACTTCTAATGTGGAGCTTATGGTGACCTTGCAATTTTATGTGGTTAGATCATCTTAGAAAAACAGGATGATCCACTGACTATATTATATTTAAAATATGCATTGTTAATGTCTAATAAGAATATCTGTATTGGGGTTGATTTGTCTGGGTTGGGGGTTCACCCTGGCCTACGGCTTGGATGTGGCAAAGGTGTTACACACTCTGTCCTTGGGGTGGGTCCTAGACAAAGGTATTAGGCTACTGGAGGTACCCCCTTGGAAAGGCAGAAGCAGTTCTCAGGGTCATCGTCAAAGGGGCAAACCCAGCTCCCTCTTCCTATGGCTGGCTTCTTGCTTCCAATGTGATCTGCCTCCCCACGCTCCTGTCATGATGCCATCCACTGTCATCAGACCACTCCACAGTCTAAACCAACTCAGGCCCCTCCAGCCCCTAAGGCTGCAAGCTAATAAACCTCCTTTCTTCAATAGTGCCCTGCCTCAGGCATTTCATTAGAGCAATGGATACAGTCTGGCTTGAGCACTGGACTAAAACTGGTTTTCTTAGTATTCCATTCTACCAGGTGGTACCTTAAGCCAGGGGGATCTGTCCTAGACAGGTGGGTATAACCTCAGTAATGGATGTCACCCATCTCCATGGCAGGGCAGGTGTGCGGATCTTCCAAAGCACCAACCCCAACTGTCGAGGTGTGTGGCAGTGGGAGAGAGAACATAGTGTGGCACAGGTCTTGTTTCAAAGCAGCCTTTCCCCACCCATTCCACATCTCACTGGCCTGTTCCTATCTTTCCTCAGTAGGCTGCCACTGGGCCCTCCAAGGCCAAGGTGCCCATGGCCACCTAGCTGTAAATGTAAGGGTGGGGTTAAAAGGGAGGAGTATGGGGTGGGACACCGGGGTGGGGCTGTATGGTAGAGGAAGGACTTCTCCCTGGTAGGTTGTTCAGCAGTCCAGAGGCCGGGTCCAGAGAGGATTTGAAAGCACTACCGTGGCAGTGAGTCGGCTCTGTCAAGAAGGGAAGTGGCACGCTAGTTATCACCACACACTTGTCTCTGGGCTGCTTCAGATGGTGGGAGACCAGGACTGTGTCTCTAGCAGATACTGTGGAGATGCAGGAAGGGCGGGCCCTGGCTCAGAGACAGTCTAGCATGTCTTTCTTCCCTCTTCTCCTCAGGGTCCTTTGCTTCCTGTCTGGGCAGTCTCCAGCAGCAGAGACCACAGCCTGGAGAAGTTACTTCCCCTCTCACATCACACTTCCATCTTCAAACTGGCACCATCACTTACAACCACCTGCCCGCAGGAGACAAGCTCAGGATGGGCCCTGCCTTCATTTGCCTGATCGCTCTGCACCAAATGCACACTAGATCTGTCCGAGGGGCCAGCTGGCCACCCTGGTATCGGGTATGGGGGTGGGAGGTAGGACAGAAACAGCTAGTACACCTCTGCAAGAAGGGACTAAAATGCCCTAAGATCCTAAGCATGACCTTCAGACCACCTCACCAAGGGCAAAGCTCGACCCAGGAACCAGTCAGTGCAGGGTTGTAGGATATTCCTACTGAAGAGTCCCTCAGCCCAGTACAATGAGAAGGCTTAGGGAAGGTGAAGAACCTGTGGCTGGACTTGGAGGTGAGTCAGAGAGACTTAGCAATGACCAGAGAAGAACTGCTGTGCTATGGAATCTAGCTCTATGATTTCAGTGAAGTTCCTGACAGTTGTGACTCAGAATGCTTCATTGGTGAATGAACTTCCCTCATAAAAGTGCAGTAACAGAACCTGCCTGGGGACATTACTGAGCCGTTGCAAGCAGACACCTCAGAACACTGCCCAACACCTGCCTACTAATGTATGCCAAAGGCTGTCTGGCACACACTGCCTTGGGCTCTCTGGTCCTCTAGAGATGTCTGGATTCCCATCTACAGGTGCTCAGCGGTCAAAGCCACAGCTAAGTCTTCAGCAGTTTGGGTAAATGCTTGCAGACCCCGTAAAAGGTCTGGCAGCTGGAAACAATTAGCAGAGGTTCTCACAAAGGAGTGTAGCCTACTGCTGGCTTCTGGATTCTTCTAGAAACTGTTAATGTTTGGTGTAGCTCTTGCAGATAATGCAAGCGCTTGTGGCTTGCTGCATGCCCATTCCATGCATCACTGGGGACCTATTAGATGCTCACCTAATGAGGTTTTACAGGCTTTCCATCATCAGTTCAGCATCCCCATAAAGTGGGCATTGCCACTGATCCACTGACAGCTGGGGATGCTGAGGGGCAAGGATGATGCACACCTTCATCTCATAAGTAGTTATGAGATAGCAAGGATGAGAAAACATGGTGTCTCCCCCTGCAGAGCATGGCCTTTTACTGCACTGCCTGGCTGCGGTGGATCCCGCTTCCTGTTGAGGCTTTGTCTGTGAAACCCAGGTGGGGGCATGGGAAGATGTAGTAAAATGAGGGAGGGGAAAACACATATCAGCCCCTCCTGGCAGCTGCCATAAACTTGCTGTTCCCATATCTCTCCCTTTCCTGTAAAGATGCCAAAAATTATGTATGGATCATTATGTTAGATATCTTCCAATGCTTGGCTCAAATGGTCTGTTAAGACATTGCGTATCCTAAAAAACCATTCACGGGCCCATTATGGACAGCATGGCCTCTGCAGAAGGCCACCAGGGAGGGGACAGGCCAGGCTCAGGCCTTTATGCAACTCACAGTATGACATCCAGTATGCTCCTCTCCATGGCCTCTAGGAATTCCTCCATGTTCCTGGACCCTAAGGGTTCCCTGGGCCAAGTTGCCAGTTGAGATTCATGCTTCCTTATGCCCTCAATCACATGTCCACTCTTTCCCAAAGGCTTAAAGACGAGAAGTTGCAAAATTCTCTCCATGGTCCTATACTCCTGTCTCCATACTTTCCTCTCTAACAAACAGCTCCATCCTTTCAAACGTGCCCTTCCTTCCTTCCTGAGCATAGGCCTGAAGATGACATTACTGACCAATCACTATTGAAGACACGGATAATTTGAGTCCTCCAAAGCAGTGACCATTCTACCATTCTCTGGTCCAATTCAGAACCGCAAGGGACAGATACTGTGGGGCATGTGTGTAGCCCTGGCCTCATCAGCCAGATACTTTGGGTGGCATCTCGTCCCCTCCTCACAATGTCCCAATTTCTCATATCACCCTCTCCATCACCAACCCATTTTACAGATAAGAAAACTGTAGCTCAAGCAGGCTGGAGGGGATTGCCTTGAGCTCACACAAGCAGGCGGGTGATCCAAAACAACACCTAAATCCCTCGATGTCATACTTTCTTGTCCTGGAATTTATCCCAAGGTCAAAAACCAAAGCCGGATCCCAAAATTTGTGTTTTAGAATGTCTGGCGCAGTGTTCGTTTTAAGGATAAGAGAGTGGAAACAATGTCCAGCTCAGATTAGCTAAATAAGTGAGAGGACTATGCTGTGGCTATTCAACGACAGCCTAGCTTTTCCCACTCGGAAACATCAGGCAGTAGTAGCAGCACCTTCAACCTCAGATTATCAACCCTCTCCCCCGCCAACCATTTTCTGATAGCTATGCCAAAAGGAAAACAGGCCCAGACTCCATTTGTCAGTAACTCTATTCTGTCTTACTTCAGGACTAAGCCTTAGGTCTGACTTTTGACCAATGGCCTCAGTACATGTTCCTTGGATGGAACATAAACATTAACACACACATACACACACACACACACACACACACACACACAGTATAGCACCGCACCGCACACCACACCACACCACAACACAACCCAGATGTCCTTTCATTTAGCAAACACACAAGTGCCCGCCCTGTGCCAGGCACACAGGAGCCCTCAAGAAGACAAAGATGAATGAGACAGAGCCTCCCCATGAGCAACACCATGGAGGCACTGTTGTGGTAGAGTAGCACCAGTCAATGCAGGGGAACACTCAGCTCCTCTCTTCCACGCAGTGACTGCGAGTGTCCCTGAATCTGACATCCAACAGAGCTGAGCATCTGGAGCCCCAAGACCAGGGGCTGAATCCCAGCGCTGTCACTTCCCACGGACCTTTTGAGTTTCTCATCTGAAAAGGGAACCAAAACTGAAGTTCCTTTGGAATGCTGGTCAAACTCAGCAGATAATATATAAAAAAATATTTTCTCACCATACAAAGTCCTACACTCTCCCCCCTCCCCCCCCACCCCGGTCATTCAGGCTGGTCAAGTGTCCTGAGCCAAAAAGATGCCAAGCCACACCAGTTCTCCAGTTCATCCAGTTCATCCGTGGTCCTACTCAGAAAGCCTGGCAGAGGGCCTCCTAGAGACAGGACACCAGAGCTCCAGCATCAAATGACTCCAAAAGAACTGGAAAGTTCTGGACAGGCGCCACCTACATATGCTTTTTTCGTTTGTTTTTGTTTTGTTTTGTTTTTTTAAGTCTTACCTTACCAATGGTCCCCTTATTGTGCCTGCCCCTTTCGTGTCTTACCTTGGGCAGGTCCGTGGCCCCACGGATCCGCAGGGCCAACTTCTCTCCATCCGGGTGAATCTTGGCCACATGCTTCCACATCCTTTCCCAGGTGGCCTCGTCCACTGGCAGTCCACTTCGGTTGATGAAGAAAGGGACACCTCCATCTCGTAGGTCCTCTTCTCCTTCCTCTTCTGGTTCCTCGTCTCTCTGAGCTGAAGCCCCTTCGCTGGTTTCCAAACGTTTAATGCCAGAGTGGGCGGCAGCAGCGGCAGCTGCGGCTGCATTTGGGGAGGCACCGCTGCTGCCACTCGGGACCACCTTCTTTCCCCCTGGCATCCCTAAATCCTCGACGAGGGTGGGAGGATATATCAGGAGGCGGGAAAAAGAAGTGCCTCACAGGAGGTTTCCCACACGCTGGCTATAGAGATAACACATGGCCAAACAGTGCCGGGCGCCTTTAAGAAACCAGGGCGTGGCTCCTGTACAATAAAATACTATTTAGTAAGAAAGAATCAGCATATCAACCTGGAGGGATGACCAGGTGGGTGCCCAGGGTCCGCCTTAGAAGCCCTATTTTGTTTGGAAAACGGGATGAAGAGAACACACCCCAACTTGGCAGCCTGTACAAAGCACCCCCATTTGGCAGCGAGAACAATGACTCGCAGCGATCTAGGATGGCTGAGAGGAGAAAAGTGACGGCCCTGGGGATGGGGAGACTGAGGCCAGATAGCTCTTGCGGCAACACTGAAAAGGAGCCCCAAGGCACCAGTGCCCACTCCCAGTTTTAGAGAGAACAAATTCCTCTACGAAATAGTGAGGGGGCCCGCATGAGCTCTTAGTCTGGACCCGGGGGATCGGGGATGCAGGGGGAGAGCGTGGCGCCGGGGGCGACTTCTCTGTCGCGACCCTTCGGGAAGCCAAGACTCGCAGCTGGCGGGGCGGGGAGGGGGCACGCGCCGCCGCGCACATTCCACGCCTGCCTTCCGCACAAAGTGGGGCTTTGTCTAGGTCCCCTAGCCCCGGGCAACAGCACGGAGAGGGCGGAGGGGAAGGGTGCGGCGGAGAGGCGACTGCTCGGGGCTCTCGAGCCCTGAGATCCCCGGCCTGGAGCGGATCAGCGGGGATGCCGGGGGCACCTGGCGCGGCGCGGTCCCAGCCGAGCCAAAGCGGGACGTGGGGCCCCAGGTTCAGCCATCGTGGGGAGCGGCTAGGGCGACGCGCAGGGACCAGGGGTCACTGAACGGCAGGGTGGCCGCTCTCCACCAGCTGCAGCATGAGCAGTCCGGAGGATGCTGCGCTGGGGCTCCGGCGGCCAGGCTGGGTCGAGCTGGGCGGGCGGGGAGTAGGGGCAGGTCCGTAGGCTCCGCCCGCGGCGGCGAGTGACAAATCCCTGGCGGGCGCCGGTACACCGATACCCGGGGAGCAGCAGCCTAGGAAGGTGCAGCCCATGGGCCGATGGCGGCGGCCGGGCTCGGCGAAGCAGAAGCCACAGCTGCCGCCAGCCGGGTCCCCAGCGCCTCCCGCCGCCCACCAGGCGCGACTCTGGCCCATGCCGCGCATGCGCTCCGTCCCCCCCTTTAAAGGGCCAGCGTGTTCCCTCCGGGTACTCTTGCTGCCGCCACCCCACTGCCCAGAAGCTACAAGTTATCGCAGGGATGCCTGAACTCCCTCTCCTTTCTTACCTCACTCTTAGTGTGCTGAGAAGTATGTGCAGAGCTGCGGAGGAAGTTTACAACCCGCCACACAGAGCTCAAAACTCCTAGGGGGATCCCTGGCGCGGAAGGAATTGTGGCGGTCGGTTGGGAATTTCCTGAAGGACAGACACATAGAGGAGGGGCAGCCCTCAGCTATATAGAATCAAGAAGGCTGACCTGGAAGCCGCGAGTTCTAGATGGTGTTCATGCCCTTTTTCCTCTCGAACGTTCTGTAAATCTCTTCCCTTTGTAGGCTTCAATCACCAGAGATGATCACAATGGATGAACTTGGCACCTCTGGAGCTGCTCCTTAAGGGAGGATTTGTAGGGGTTGAGAGTAGTTCTGTCTCATTCGATTACTTGCATGGAATCCAGGGAGTGTGCCCCTAGTTCTGGCTTTGGATGCGCCAATCCCTGGCATCTGGCTGGAGATAAGAGCTTTCCCAACCATGGGACCAAGACAGCAACATAAGAGTGGGAAGCCGTGTTTGGGGAGTGTCGACCTGCCCAGATAAGTACAGCTGATGGCTGTGTGTGGCACATGGGCTCTGTAGACACCACACACCCTCTCCTTCCCCTATACCACAGATCTGCATGTAACTCCCAAACAAAAAACTTAACCAACCATCTATAGATGCATTCGCAGCTTAAGACTTTCTTTCCCTTAAACAGTAGTTGGAATGAATGGTAGTCATCTGGGAGAAATGTTCCTGACAGATAAAGTTTGGATAATGAAGGGCTCCCAGACCAATGTGTCCCCAGATGGTGCTATTCAGAGGTAGTAGAACCTTTGGGATATGGGGCCCTGTGTGTGTGTGTGTGTGTGTGTGTGTGTGTGTGTGTGTGTGTGTCTTTAGGTGGCTGAAGGTATCCTCTCTATTCTAATGTCATTGTTGTTGCTGTGATCAGACCCTGGCCAAAAGCAACTTAGGGTGGAAAGGATTAATTTGGTTCTATACTTCCTGTCATAGTCCATCATTGAGGGGCAGGAACACAAGGCCTGAATGTAGGTGTAGCTTAATAGTCTAAATTAGTTTGCTTGTGCTATCATAAGAGGCTAAAAGATATGCAGTAAAAGAGGTCCAGATTGGGGGGGGGGTTTAAACAGATTCCAGTGTGTTTTTACAATGTGTGAAGTCTTAAGAAAGAAAGAAAGGAAGGAAGGAAGGAAGGAAGGAAGAAAGAAAAGGGTATGGAGAGTCACAGAAAGAAATAAAGAGTTTAAAAAAATAACAGTCTTTAAAGAGACAGTAAAAGTAATATTAAGATAAAAAGCCACTCAGAGATGGGAAATACAGAGGGAGTCTGGATCCTGTATGCTATTGCCGAAAAGCAAGAAACAGCTACTAACAGACATGAATTGACAAAGGGACTGAGGAAATAAACCAGCCTAGATATTTTAAGGATGTCTTAATTTTAAAAACGTCAGAAAACGTGTTTGTCAAATGGAAATCAAAAATGCTTTGGAGAAGTGGTTTTGCTTTTGTTTCCACAGGAAACAAAAGACTGTGGATTCGTTCCAGGTTGACATAGTTCTGGTTTGATCAAGGGAGACCCCCTGAACTTGACAGTGATATCTACCAATAAAGGTTAGAAGGTCTTCCCAGGACTTGGTCATTATCTCAAATTTTCCCTCTGGGAACCCTAAAGATGCCTTCACTCACATTCAGCCGGAAGCAGTCTAGAGAGCACTATGCCCACATTCCCAATAAATGGTGTAGGAGGCTTGTGGTTATTTTGTGAGTCTCGGATGTTTGTTATAATTTAGGGGAATATAGGAATACAGGATAAAACAATGATTAATCTCAGATATTTTGCCTTGGCATGGATTTTGGTATAGGAATACAATTTTGATACACTCTATATGTGTTTGCTCTTGTTTAAAGGACTTTTGTATATTGATACCAATTTAAGGTCATTTTTGTTACAACATATTGACTATATGTTTCTGCTCTTGTTTGAGGTATAGTACCTAGGCAGTTCATTTGAAAATGTAAGGTAAAATTCTAGTTTTGGAAGCTATTATTATGAACTATTTAGGATAATCAAGAAACACAGGTCAGTAGTTAGTCATCTACAACAATTAAATTTGTAGATACGTTAGGTATGTTTTCCAGATTTTATATATATATATTCTCCAAACCTTTCAAAGACCTACAGAACATGGCATTTAAAAGGTTTTGTTAAGTAAGGGCTTTTCATGACAACGAGACACATTGCTCCTGGCACCACCAATTTACTTCAGGGATGATGGGCATCAAAGAAACTCCTTATGGAGTTTGCTTTCACTGTGGCAAGATTAGCCGTTTGGTCAAGAAATTGCTTTTGCCTTGACTGTTTGACAGTATGCTATATAAACTGGATATGCAGGACCCACAGGAAAGTTACTGCTCAACTTTGCCAGACATTCTGCAGGAAAGTGACTAACAAACTGCCAATATAGGCAGGACACTCTTTCAAATTTCTTGCTTCATTGAAAAGTCTGCCAGATACTATGGGCCTATAGGCTGAAGATGGATGCCCCAAAGTTGCAGAGGAACTTTAGGTGACTGTCCAGGCATTCAGATGTCTCTTGTCATTTTTTAGAGTTTTTGGAAGTTGCTTGTAACATACTTTTTGTTTACTTAAATAATATTATATCCTTTTGGTACTTTTGATGGAGTTGAAGACTAGATAGTTATAGTTGCAGTTTTCCTTAGCTATGATAGGAAGTAAGTTAGGTATAGAACTTTGGATTCACTAAGATAGGATAGATGATATAATAATTTCTCTGAAATGCAAACGGACAGAATATTGTAAATTAATTCTTACTTGATAACTGTTTTTGTTGTATATAGTTTTACTATGTTAAAGTTAAAACCTTTCTTTTTATTTAGACAAAAAAGGGAGAAATGTGGTAGAATATTATTTTAAGGTGTATGACATTTGTTTATGCTGCATTTGTTTAACTCAGTGAAGCTGTGATTCTTTGCCTGTCTGAAACACCTGAGGGTCTAATAAAGAGCTGAACAGCCAATAGCGAGGCAGGAGAAAGGATAGGCAGGGCTGGCTGGCAGAGAGTATAAAGAGGAGAAACGAGAGCAAGAAGAGAAGAAGGAGAGGAGGACATCAGGGCCAGCCACAGAGTTAAGTGAAAGTAAGTTATACAGAAGAAAAGGAAAAAGTTCAGAGGCAAAAGGTAGTTAACGTAAGAAGAGAAAAGCTGGCTAGCAACAAGCCAAGCTAAGGCCCGGCATTCATAGTTAATAAGCCTCCATGTGTGATTTACTTGGGTGCTGGATGGTGGGCCCCACAAAAAGGCTAAAGAGCAAAAAGAGTAAGAGTAAAAATATTTCAAACAACAACAACAACAAAACAAAAACAAAAACTAACTAGGCAATGGGGAACCTGGAAAGGGATGTGTCTCAGTCTCGACAAAAGCCCACAGAGGACAAGGGTCTTGCCTTTTTTTGCACAGCTTGTGAACTGGGAACAGATCCTGGTTTCTTATCAAACCCTCCCAGGACTCCTTCAAACTTGTGCCCTGAGAGCAACAATTGTAAGAGGCATGGGTATCTCCTTACTTTGGTTAAAAGTGCTTATGACCGTGATCTCCTTTGCTATCCAAATGCAACCTCCAGAAGAAGGGATGGGGCTTGTTGCTCAGCTGAAGTGTGCTTGTCTAGCATCCCTGGAACTCTGAGTCCCATCCCCAGCCTTGCGTAAACCAGTTGCAGTAGTGCGCACCTGTAATACCAGCTCTGAGAAGGTGGAGGCAGGAGAATCAGAAGTTCAAGGCCATCCTCAGATATATAGTGAACTCAGGGTCAGTCTGGGTTACACCAGACTCTGTCTCAAAGCAGGACTGGAAGAGGTAAGATGGTCATGAGTTCCATGCTGCAGATGAATAAAGGCCACCTGGATTGTGTCTCTGGTAGAGGTGCTGGTACATCAGAGCCACTGGGTACCAGTGATTTTGATGATGAAGATAAGGTGCATATTATACACATTGCTGTTGCTATCATGTTCTAGACTACAGTTCTAGACTTAGGACGTTGGCATTCTTACCAATCTTCTTTGATTCACGTTTGTTTGAGACAGAGTCTCACTATGTAGCCCTGGCTGGCCTGGAACTTGATAGGTAGACTAGGCTGGCCTCGATTCACAGACACCTGCCAGCCTCTGCCTCCCAAGTGCTGTGGTTAGAGGCAAATACCTCCACCCTAGTCCTTACTTTCTATTTTTGTGACATTAAACCCAGAGTCAGAGTCCCAGAGAGGAGAGTCTGGCATAGCTTGGGTCTTGGGCTCATCCCTTGACTGAAGGAGAGCAGGGCATTTTT